TGCTGTCCTGTCAGTCTATTTCATGGCAGAGTTGATCTAGTGTTACATGTACCACATTTTAGTGGATACGTAATCATCATTACCATTGTTACCATAATTATGCTTTCTTTACCCCGATCTTAATTTGGTTGAACACAGAGTTTCCGCCTAGATCTTCCGTGTTAAACCCCAAGGAGAGCAAGGGAACCAAGGGAAACCAAGGGAAATGGGGACAGCTCTTTGTGAATCCGGAACAAAATAAATGGACTTGTAGTGGATGAAGTGGGCGAGGTGGGAATATTTTCAACATGTCGACGTATTTGCCGAGCACGCAATTCGCTAAAATTGATCTAGTTTTTCGAAATTATAAATTAGTGGCAAGCGAAGATGAAGGAGATAGATCTCCAGGGACCAAAAGAAGACAAAGGAAAACATTAAAAAAAAGCTTTCTTTCTATCTGGAATCTTGGAAATTTGAACAGCTGAAAACTCTATTGTGTACGTTATCCAATCATTGGCGGCAAGGAATAAAGAGAAGAGGGGAGATTGATTGAAGAAATGAAGAGATAAACCATTGATATGGCGTTTCTCATTGATTCCCTTGTGAGTCTATTGTATAGGGAATAAAAAAAGATCAGCTCTTCAAGATTTTCTACAATTTTACAAAGCTGTCTCTTTCAAGCAGTAGATTCGGCTATTACCAGGCAAGGGTAGCTCAAACCTGGTTAATGCAAGTTGCAGCACGCGGATTATCCATTGGGAAATATCCACCCAATGACCGTTTTGCCTCATGATGCAATGGGAGGGATGAAGATCGCAATCCGATAAGATACGATAAGAATGAGAAGAGGCTTGGAAAAGCTCCGAGACATCACAATAATTTCAAAATTCTGGAGGCTCGAAAGGCTTGGAGGCTTAAAAGCTAATATTTCTGAGCTGAGATCTATATTGTAAATGGGATGGAGTGCAAAATTGTATTTGGATTATTGAACATCGAGACCACCAGACTGGAGATAGTATCTTTCCCTTACCAACAAAAACCCGCGGAGATGAGGATGAAGGAACCTCCCGTCAGCCAAATGTCTTGGGAGATACAATATGAGTTAGTCCTAACAATAGGGTCTGCGGATGGAGCGTTTGGGGCCGATAAAAAAGTATTCACCGCGTCGATGAGAGATATTATTGTCGAGAACGCTTTCAAAATCCGATCAAGCTTCCTCTCTTGCCTCCAAATTTCCAAGAGTTGAGGACTCATTTCGATTCATATCACATGACATATGTTCACGTGCCATCGTTTTCATGCGGCCTTTCGCGGTCTTCCAGAATCTGTATCCGTACCCAGTACCCTTATCGATATCTTGTTGGATTGAAGTCAAAGCAGAAAGACACTGAGAAGGATATCATTGTCATGCTACTTCAATCAATATATGAATGATGTGTCAATAACATCGTTGTAGGTTTGTACATTAGGTAGGCAGGTAGCTTTTTTTGGTGGTTGTCGTAAGTTATGTATGTATAAGTGTTATCACGAAAATTCGCGGTTTACCAGCCACAGCTTCACTTTAACCACACTTCACACTTCACACTTCACGCTTCACACTTCACACTTCGCTCAGACTTCTGCTGACATGACAACAACTCAATTTGATAACAGACAGTACAATAGAAAATAGAACGATACCATACTTCATATGATTGTATTCACATAGTCATAATCACCATCTTGGATCTCAAGAACAGACAATCGAGTATCACTCCATCACTCAATCCGTATCCTTCATCCTTATAAGTTAATCCTCGATCCTCTATCAACAAACAATGCGATAGCAAAATGGCATCTTCATCCCCCACCAAAGACGCATTTCAATTTCCTATACTGGCCCCTCCAAATCATTCCGTACTCAATCCGCCAGCATCTCCCCGCCGAGCTTTAAGAAGATTACAGTCCGCGCACACTCTAGGTTCATCATTCAATCAACCATCCCTGATCTCACAACAACATAAGCAAGCTTTGCAAAAGATTATTCCGCCCGTGCCAAAAGATGCCACACAATCTTCAACTACTCATTCCAGAGCAAGATCCAATAGTGATGTAACGAATATAGTTCCAGTCCCAACTTCTTCGATGAGGCGCCCTACATCAAACAGAAAACTTACTGCGACAGAAAGTATGTCGTTGGATCGTTTACTTAGAGAGGGTCCCCCTGATGGAGATATAATTGGCAGTTTGGAGAGTATGAGATTGAAGATATTGGATCAAGGGGTCAAGAGTGATAGCGATGGAATGGTGTGTCAATTCCTTCATTTTCACTCCACCACTTCGGCCAATAAATACTTACTTGTCGATAGTCCTCTTTGCGCATTTACATCTGGCTTATATTACTCAATGCACCTACCCTTGAAACCGACGCATATCTATCTCTAATTCATCGCGGTGCATCTCCCGCATATTCCAAAATTCGAAACGATACCTTTCGAACTCTAGCCACCGATCCTCTTTTTCGACGTCGAGTTAGTGAAGCAAGCTTAATCCGACTTTTAAATGCAGTAGCATGGAGGTTACACGATGCGAAAGAGGCGCGAGCAGAATACCGAAATATACAGAATAGACAGATTATGGAGGCGGCTATTCAAGGTTCTCCAGAACGAGGTCCATCATCACCAAGTATGAGATCTAGAGCTCGTGCTCTGACTTTAACAACCGAAGGTTCTGATGTTGGGGCTGGAGAACCGGGTACATATGTTCAAGGCATGAATGTACTCGCTGCACCCTTTCTCTATGCTGCCCGTAGCGAATCTGAAGCATTTGCTGCCTTTCATCGCTTCATAACAACCGAAGTTCCTGGCTATGTGAGAGGTGCTATGGATGGTGTTCACAAAGGACTCGCATTAGTGGATAAAGTTCTAGCTATTGTTGATCCAAAATTGAGTCTTTATCTGATTGGAAAGGGTATGAGTGCAGAAATTTATGCTTTCCCTTCAGTACTCACTCTATGCGCATGTACCCCTCCGTTACCCGAGGTACTTCGTCTTTGGGATTTCTTGTTTGCCTATGGTGCTCATCTCAATATTCTTTGCATTGTGGCACAACTTGTTATTCTCAGGCAATCAATAATGAGTTCTCCTAGGTAAGTTCTGGGAGTTGCTTCTACTATATGTGAATTCAACTAATGAAAATCAAAGTCCTACGAAGATTCTCAGATCTTTCCCTCCTTTACAAGCGGATACCATTAAAGAAGTTACACTTACTATCATCAAGAAAATTCCGGATGATGTTTATGCGGAAATCGTTTCGCATGCTAAATAGTTTATTGACATGCATGGCTGGCGGGCGTTATACATTGCATTGGATGAAAAAAGTAAAAGTTTGAGATGGGCTGAATGGTTACTATATGTACGAATGATATCATGATACAGTTATGTTTTGAGAAGAAAATGATCAATTGGTTGGATTGGATTGCATGAGGCTGGGTTGGGGTTGGTCGGTCTGGGGAGGTTCTGGGTTGGATGAATGGGTATGGGTATGGATATGAATTAATGACATTGGAGGGGAAGTAATTTTTAAGTATAAGCTTGAGTGTAATATATTTATTTGTATACCTATCCCTGTTTCAAAACTTTAGTGGTTGGGTGATCACTGTTTTTCTCAAGTTTGAATTCCTGTTTCTGGTGGCTATGCAAATGTGTAATACAATGTAGCTTCTTCAAAACTCATACTCCTTCCCCATCCTTCTGGGTTCCTCTTCGAATACCTAGTATGCATCATCAGTCCCAATATATCCTTCATACCATAAAACGTCGCCTTTTCTTCTTCATTACTAATGAATTTTATGAATGACTGATCGATTGTATCAGGGCTTTTTGTTTGATTGATGGATAGTAGGGGGAGGAGAGTGGTTGTATTTGTGTATGAGTATGAGTATGAGTATGAGTATAAGTATAGATAATGGATAATGGATGAGTGAGAGAGAGAGAGAGAGAGAGAGAGATAGAGAGAGAGAGAGAGAGAGATAGAGAGAGAGAGAGAGAGAGAGATGCTTATTAGAGACAGAAAGACAGACACAATGCGTCTATAGAGAATAAATGGGGGATAAATGAGGGCCAGATGATGAGGCGAGAGTATTGCGTTATATTATGTGTAGGATATTTGGGAAGGATGGAGGGAGAGACGAAGATGCGAGGTAGATAGGAATGTAGATAGACATATATTTAAAATGAGATATTACAGATTACTGCATCGAGATAGAGGGATGGCTTTGAGTACCAGAGCAGAGATTAGGTGAGATTATGTAATGTTCATAGCAAAATTCAAATATATGAATAAATACTGAAAATATGAGAGATGAATGTAATATCCTCCTTGTACTGTACTATCTGGATAGTATATATCAAGTTCATAACTATCCATTCGTCAGTTTCCTCTTTCCTCTTTCCTTTTCCTTACACCCATCCAAGTTCTAACTGAATAAACGAGCTCAGCTACTCGAGAATTGAAAATTACATAATATAATACATCTATATAATAAAGTAAGACAGTCAGATAATATGTATGTAATGATATGATATACATCTTAGTATACTACTTATATCATATCATATCATATCATATACACAGAAACTGAATTCCAACATGGAAATCTACTTGAGAACTTTGCCAGACAGATATATATTGGATATATTTATACATATATGTACCTATATAGACAGACAGATAGACAGGTAGATAGGTAAGTACACAGGATTATGCTTCGAAGCAAAAACCTAAAGATCTCTTTTATTGCATGGAATGATATTCTTAGTTCGTGTGACTATTCGATAGAGCTCACAGTAGAGCACATTTTGTGATGCTTTGGGTCATTGAAGGGCTATTGTTTGATACACGTGTATGTCACCCAATAATCCGTATTTGACTTTGAGATTTTTAGAGTGGAAGACCGAGTGAGTGATATTTGTACGGATATTGGATTTCGGGTTGTGTATTGAATTGTAATGCAGAAATATCGATCAATCCGTATCACATACTTATGCATTCTTGAATGCTATATGGAACTGATATGTAAGTTAGCTGTCTCTTCTCTCGACTCCGCAATACTTCTCTCATATCTCTCTTCTCACAATCCCGTCCCATTCAATCATCTCCGAAGATCAGAAGCAAAATCGAAGTAAAAGAGAAGTAAAACACAAACTCACCATATCTGCCCCACTCGTCCCTTTTCTCAAATATCCTATGTTGTCCGCAAATTCCTTTGTCTCTCTGAATGCCTATTTTTCAAATCTCACATTAGCCCCAAAATTCTTCCATCTCCCATCCATCAAAATCTACCCTAAAATCTCCAAGAACCGAAAAGAAACAATAAAGTAAAAAATGAATACCGACCATATGAGCCTCCTTACTCTCCCACCCTAGCATCATAACCAAAGCTCTCCCCTTTTCTTCCTCCATCGCCTCTTTATTCTTAGCGATCTTCTCAATCACCTCTCCGGAATCTATCACGCCCAGAAAACCTGCTATTTTCTTCTCTGCGTGAAGTTTGCGGATTGCTGTTTTGAAGTATTCTACACCCTATTTGTGTTTCTTAGTCTTCTACTTGATCTAATTCTCATCCTTTTATCCTCGCTCTTCTTCCGATTCATCGAATTTTGGATTTGGATTTGGATTTGGATTTGGACGGAGATGACAAATAGGAATATAGAATAAAACACCACCTACCTCAAGAAAAACATCCTCCACATCAAAAAACGTAGCAACTTCCATTACTCCCCCCTTCTGCTCCGCATTTCCTTTTGCAATCGCCCCCGCAACATCCAATTTGCTTGCGTGTATGATTTCCGCACTTCCCATAATCGGCTGCAAGTTTTCTAAAAAGGCTGGGTAGGCTGGCGAATCCATAAAGGCTTTGTGGGGAGCGAGGGATGTCCAGTCTTTGGATCGGGTTAGTATAGATATAGATAGATTTGGTCTCGTATAGGAAGATAATGGGAAATTTGAGTGGGGGGGTACAGATGTAAAGAAAGAGCAAATGACAAGTGACAGGGCAGTTCTCAACGCAGCCAAGATCAGTAAAAGAAGCAACGAAAAGGGAAACACAAACCAATACACCAAATCAACACTCCCTCGTCCTCCAGTGTTCCGCCGTAGTAAGAATTTGTACATCCTTTTTGGGCCGCTACTGTGTCTAGAGTTTCACGCCCTATATTGGTTACATCTGGTTAGTGTGGTTCTTCGAATTTCATCCCTCCATTCATCCATCTATCCATCTACCCGTTCCATAAAGCCAAAATCGAACCGTGACAAGTTTAGATCCAAGCAAGCCTGGATACTCGAATACTCCCCCTCCCATCCTTCTCCCTATTCCCCTCATTCCAAACCGGATGTAACACACTCGTGATCACTTAGTTCCATCCGGCCAATCTCACTTCTAAGTTCTCACCTCTGTGATCTTATCCCGGATATCTAAACCGTACTGCCCGCTTGAAGCAACACCCTACTTAAATCCATCCCATACACAACCAGCTTTACATGTATCTCATCCCCAATTCCATCCTCATCCCTCTCCCCCAAAGAAAAAAAAATACCACACTTACAAATCTTCGCTGCCTTTTCCGCCTCTCCCTTTCCCTCTCCCTCCCCCTCCAAATCTCCCACCCCTATCTCCCCTCTCAACCCAATCCTCACCATTTCCGTGACCGGCCCATCAAACCCAGACCCACTAACCACCGACCGCATAGCCATTTCGACACTATGTCCTTATTCCCTACCTTACGTACCTATATCTAAATCTGTATCTTTACCAGGAGCAATGTAATAGATAATAAATAATAAATAGCTATAGTGAGTGACAAACCACCAGCTAACATAGGTATCTGAAGTCTTACCTTACCTTACCTATCTACCCCACACAACACGAACACGACACTTATGATGTCAGCAGCTCCGATCACATAAACTCCCAAACTTTGATTTCCAAACTCGCTCAGTCACTATCTCCTAGAGCTTTTACAGTAACAGCTTCAACAGATCAACATCTCATTATCAAATCATCAAGTCAACAGATATTAGTGATCTAACCCATATGGCAAAATATCACACACAAGATCACTAAACATAAAACAACGCACATAATGAGTAATTCAAACATCACCAAATCATCAATCCATCTCGCCTGACCTCACCTCAGCTCACCTCAATTTCAAATGCGTCTCCAATCCCACAAACACAATCAAAAGAACCTCACATCATCAAAACATAGCAATTTTTCACAATTCATATCACCCTAGCCTATCATGCATCATGCATCATGGTTTTCCTTGCATACCAGTTTCCCTATTAGCATCTTTCCCATCATTCTCGTTTCCATGCACTTGATTTCCCATACAAATCGCGGGTCAGATTCCCATCAATCAATCAATCAGGATCTCATTCTCCCATCATTAACTTTTTTTATCAATTGCTTAGAGAGATCTTTTCACTCCTAAGGGAAATATACGCCATGAAAAAGCAAGCAAGCCACCATTCCGCCAACCAGGCCACTAACATTCATAAAAAAGATTCATTTCTGATTGTTAATAACACGTATTGCCAAAGGAATTCCTTTTCCTTGCCCATATCGAACCCTTTTCATATATCAATTTAAATTTAGCTTGAAGCTCTGTGACGTTCACTCTCTAGCCTTGAGTAGAGCATGTATCTATTGATATATTAGTAATACGAAAATAAGATTAAAAGAAGAGGAAACTTACAAGGCCATTTGATTACACTCTGCTGTTCCTGTAATTGTAACCAGTCTCTCATTTGAATTATCTTGCGGCTCATTGATCTTAATGACACTACCACTGAGTTGTCTGATTTCATTAATCTTGGCACCACCTTTACCGATTATAGCTCCAACCATATCATTTGGGATGAAGATTTGCTGTGTTAAGGGTTGACCAGGGATAGCACCTGGCATAGGCTGACCTTGTGGGCCAGTAGCACCATGTGGTTGAGGAACAGCGTGGCCAGCTTGTTGTGGTTGTTGTGGGCCCACTCCACCATAACCGCCAACGGCTGGAGAAGCGTGTCCACCGTAATGTGCAGCAGCAGCAGGCTGTTGGTGAGGTGCTTGTCCTTGACCGTATGGTTGGGCATAGCTGTTTCCAGGAGTATGGTGAGATCCACGGTCAGAACGACGATGGTTGTCAGGGTGACCATAGTTTCCACCAGCTGGTTGTGGAACATATGGAACAACCTGCATACCACCTGGGACCACACCTGCAGGTCCACCACTTCTTGATGCATAAGCAGATGCAGCGGGACCACCAAATCTCTCTGTCAATTGTTCAAACAATGTGCTTCCCACATAATAGGTTGCAATATGAACGGCATCTGCAACACCAAGAACAACAAGGGATCTCTCAGTTGAAAGTGGAAGGTACGAATCGGAAGCATTCAAACGAGCTCCTGAAGCTTCTTGGATCTCTTTGATCCGAACACCACCTTTACCAATTATAGAACCAATCAAGATATGTGGAATAAGAAGGCGAAGAGGGTATGTCTTCGAGGTGGAGTCCGAAGGAGCCTCGAGAGGTTCATTGTTCAATGTTCGAATTATCAAACCAAATGCCTACAAAAAATTAGTTACATTTCTTCAAATATCGAAACAAACAAACAAACATACCTTAGCTACTGCATCAACAACACCACTGACAGTCAAAATTCTTTCCACTGCACCCTTTTGATAATCGCTGACTGTACATTTGGCACCAGAAAGCTTTCGGACCAAGGAAACATTTTCCCCTCCCTTGCCAATAACGGTAGCAGCTTCGGCACTTGTAATTACGGATCGAACATGTATCCATCCGCTCTCGTCGTGTGGGAGAGCATTTCCAGAGGAAGTGCCTTCGGTTTTAGTAGGAACCGTTGTTTGGATTGGTTGTGTTGCTTCAGTAGTAGGAGCATCAACGACCTCGGTATCCCCCTGGGCATCCTTTACTTCTTCTTTTATTCCATTGGCTTCCTCAGGTTTCGCGTCTCCATTTGGATTGGTGAGGACTGGGAGCTCGGTTTCAATGACAGATGGTTTCTTTTCTGAATCATCTTCACCCTTTACAATCTTATCTAAAGCAGGACGCTTGGCATCTGGTTGATCGCTTGGTGCAGAAGGGGATGATGGATCCTCAAGAGGACGTTTTGTAGATTGTGTAGGAGCTGTTGTAGGTGAGGCCGACATTTTCGGTTGCTATTTGGTTAATCTCTTCTTTTGTATTTGTTTCACTTTAGGTTGAATAGTGATCGGAACGGGATTGGAAGATAAGTCAAATGACTATTTGGATTGATCGCTTTTTATGTACACCAGAAGAGTCTTCGAAGGAAAACGTGCTGGTGTTGGGTTCGGAGGAAGCAGGGAATGGAGCGTGTGCTTTGACGGGGACTGCGAATAAGAGAAGATATGTCGATAGGGGAGGAAGCAGATGTGGTGTAAAACAACAACTTGTAATAGACCTGCAAACTCTGGAAAGGGATTTTCTTGGAAGTTGGAAGGAGGGCGAATAATTTCTGTGATTGTGATGGATGTGAGGGTTTTGGAGGTGAAGATAACTGATTTTGAAGAATCCTCTTATTTTTGGGGGAGAAAAAAGCAGTATTAGGGACCTATCCTCAAACCTTAAGCTTTTCCACCAACGATTCCAAGTTATCGTTGTCTTAATGCTTTCTTTTTAAAGTACTGGTTTGCGTTCCCAGTTTTCAATTCCGATGATGATTTAGTTTGCTGCTTGTTGATCGAAAGTTGCAGGAGATGGAGAAGCGACAAAGAGTAGATGGAGATGAAATTCGAAGAGGTTGAAAATCGCGTAGATCTTTATTTCCCGAGGATCGTGGTTTACGTTGGTAGATTGAGCGACTTAATCGAAGAAGTCGTTTCGATGATGAAGAAGATGATATTTCAATGAAGAAAAGGGAAGGGGAAGGAGAAGATGATGATTTAAAGAGATGTACTAGAATACCTAGATACTTCAAAAGAAAGTAGCAAACAAGAAAGAACCTTACGCGGTACTGGGGCGGTAGATCTGAGATGCGAGGGAAGCTCCACTAGCGTAGAAAAAGTTATGCTGCCTGACTGGGTCTGAGGCCTTTTGCTCTTTTGCTGAGGAGGTCTGAATTAATGCTTGCATAAAATGTATGTATTTCTGCCTCAGGTTCAATTGTGACACTTTCAGGTTCCAAGGTTTACATCGACTTTACATCAACTTCACACACTTCATACATAGCAAATTTTATAGTGATAAGTAACTACAAGAAACAACACGATTTGATGTTAAGCCGGTTTACGAGTCAAGACTTCATCACTTCCCGCATCTTTGACATTATTCAATAACCTTTTTCGGCCCGCTCCTTTTCTTCAAAAGATATATCCGTGCACATATAAGAAAGATCAAAGCATTGCACGTGTTTTTGGCTGTCAAATCGAAACACGCTACATTTCAACCTCTGGTCCTTGTCTCAAGTTGCTGTCGATCGAGGATTGAATGAGATGATTGAAAGGATCAGTTAAGATAATTCTAATGACTTGTTAAGAATCAAACTTATAACCCCTTCTCCACTCCATTTGCCATGGATATCGATCAAGACCCTCGAATCTCCGCCGCATATACAACGCGTCTCGACCAAACCCTCCAAGATCTCCAAGATCGAGTCAAGGAGCAAGAAGCCGCACTTGCAAAGGTGAGTTTCCACTCTCCACCAGATCGCTTTCTAAAAACCTCAAGCTAACAATCCACCCTAGCTCCGAGCAAAAACCTCAATTCCCATATCTTCCGGGCCATCACCAGATCCCAAAACCCACCTCCACCAACTCCGCGCTCTGAAACACGCATACGACACCCTCTCCACCACACCCCCCTACCTCCCACCCCCAAATCCATCCTCCCCGCTCTCCTCGCCCACCGCACCACCACATCCTGCATCCAAGAAACCCAAGAATGCATAACCACCAGCTCACATGACCTTTCCACTACCACCACCCTCCTCCAAAAAGAAAAATCCGACCACCAAGATGCCCTCTCCATCCAATCCGCGCTCCAATCACGCATCTCCGCGCTCACAACCCAACTCACGCAACAAACTCAAAAATCCCCCTCCCAAATCTTTTTCGAGCTGCAATCCTCCTTCCAAACAGGCAAAACACACTACGACACCGAGACCGGCAATCTAATCCGCGCATTCAACTCCTTCATCGATGCGCATCTCGCATCCATGCTCGCCGCCGAAGAACTCGGCGGCCCCATCGTAGGCGAAATGCTCTCCATCACCCCACAAACCCTCATCGCCGGTTTCAGCACGCAGGGAAAACCCAAAAAGCCAAAGGAAAACCCAAACATGGATAAACGCCAGCGTCGCATCGACGAAATCTGGGGTCCCAAACCTTCTCTCGACCAAGACGACGACGACGAAGAAGAAGAAGAAGAAGAAGAATGGGACGAAACACGTGCCGCCGCAGCAGAAATGCGCGAATTGGCCGAACAGCTGTTGAACGGATTATTGGAAGCCGATGAGAGTGGCTCGGGTGGATATGTCACGCTCGAGAGAGATAGTGCGGCGGCGAGATTCCTGGTCAGGAGCAAAGTTGCGCAGTATCATTTCAAGGACGCGAGAAAGTTGAAGCTGGTCGATTTTGAAAAGGATATTGTTTGAATGATTACCTCTCGAGTACACTATATACCCGCCCTTATTCAGATTGCCAGATTGCTACCTAGTTAAGCAAGTTTCATACCTACCTAGCTAGGCACCTACTCTTTGATCATGATGAATATTCTATTCTATTCCCTCCCCTCTCGCTTCTCACATTTCGCATCCCGCATCCCGCATCCCGCATCCCTCATTCCCTTACAACCAACAACCTAGATACCTCTCTATATCCCCTATAATCCCACACACAGTCATACCGGTACCCCCTCCCAAAAGAACTTATCAACCCACAACACACAACCACAACTCCAGCTCCACCTCCAGCTCTACCTCCCCAAACATCCGCAAACCTCACAAGCAATCTTAAACTAGCAATCTCAATGTCCATTTTTTTTTAGAAAGAAAAAAGGAATCATTTAATTTCTCTATTTCTCCCTTCCCCCTTCCACTTCACCTCACTTCACCACACTTCTCTACTTCACGACCCCCACGCTACCATTAGGTACATACATACATATATATACACACAGTACACAATACACACGCAAGATCCATCCATACATCTGCACTAAACTACACTACACTACACTACACCATCCAACCCCCTATCCGACCCCATTCACTCTATTCACCGATCCCACCTGCCCCTCCTATTTTCAAATTTTCCTCCTTTCAAACCATCCATCCACCCACCCATTGAAAGGAATCCCAAGCCTAACCTAACCTAAACGCCCAGCCCGCCCATATAATGAATCAGACTACTAGAAATGGTATGTGAACGAACGCCTTACATGAAACGAAACACGAACGAGTAAAGCAGAATCATTAATGTACCAACAATCCCCTTTTCCCTAGGTATTTTCACTTTTCTCCGCCGTGAGAAAGCAGGGAAAAAAAACAGACACAAGAAATGCTTGAAAGAAGAAGATGAAGAAAAAAGAAAAGAAAAGAAAGAACTCAAAGAAAACCCCTCAAATATTTATCTTGCCTCCATGGAAGCCTTTTCCTAGATATCAACAGTATTCACACTAAGCTCCGCTAGCACTTCATATCTTTCCATGAATCTCACTTAGTCCTCCCGAAAAGATGTCTCTTATGACCGTCCTTTCCGCTCTTTTTTCCATTCGGCGAACCACTGACATCGTCTTTTCCATCATCATTGTATTTGGATTTGTAGATCCTGTTTTGCGTTAGATATATTCAATATTTCATCCACTTTAACCTCAATATATTCGCGCTTGCACCCGCAGGTACCGCGTCTTAGATGTAAAAGAGAAAGAGAAAGAAAAAAACATACCAACTATTCCCAATCATACTAATCCCCTTACTTTCCGCTGCCCGATAAAACTTGGCACTCTTCTTAAGGTCCTTTTTACACCCCACTCCCTGCGCGTAACAAAATCCCGCTTCAGCTAAAGCATCGCCATCACCCCAAGCTATTCAAAATATTAGTACCTTGTCTCAATTTGCATTTGCACCACCTTAAAACTAGGATAAAACTCACATCCAGCGATCTCAAAGCATCTTAATGCAAGGACTTTGTCCTGTTCAATACCCCAACCATTCATATGACTGACCCCCAATTCATAAATACTAAGCGCAAATTGAGCCTTTCTAGTTTTCCTTTCCAAAACATCGACAGCTTTTCCATCCTTTGCCGTATCCTCATCATCGGCAACTTCAAGGCTAGCCGAATCCGCAGCTTTTCTCAACCAAGCTACGCCTTCTCTCTGGTTAGGTCGCATACCCCAACCGTGTCTACAAGCGAGTGCATAGAGAAGCATACCAGTAGGATGATTCTGCCTGGCTGCAAGACGTAGATGATAGGTGGATTTGGTTAGAGAGCCAGCTTCATGATACTCGATAGCTTTCGCAACATGTTCTTCTCCAGACATTTCAGCCGATGGAGCTAGTGAATGTTGCGATCGAGCTTTTATTGTAGTATTTGAAGAGGCAATTGATGGTGCGCGGTTGTCCTTTTGCGCTTTATCTTTATGTAAGGTAGGGGGTGCATCGAATGGCGATGGAAGATGACTAGGGTCTGTTAAGCTTCGTCCTCTTTCGGCCAATGTTGTAGGTTCCGTGCCCTGCTCTAAGGAAGGACGTAAATGTGAGATATCTGGTCTGGAAGAAGTCGATGGTCGAGATGGAGGTGATGGCGGAGGTCCGCCTTCAATCGTTTGATTATTGCCCAGGAAGGCAGGAGGTTGTTGCTCAAAGATAAATTGAGCTTGCGGCTGACCTTCTTGAAAAATTGCTGAATTTCTTTGTAACATCTTGCCTCTAGGTAGATTAAACGTCGAGTATACATAAGATGGTGCAGCTCCCTCACTAAGAAGGTTGTGGTCCGGGAATCCTTCACTGTGCATACTCACAGGAGTATGAGCAGTATCATCAGTGAGAATAAATGAAGGCTGGCTGTCAGAAGATGCCTGTCGGGAAGGTATTGTTGGTTTGTCTTCCGTTGGGTGATTACTAGATCTACTAATTGGCCGAGAGAAGTTGAATGCAGGTCTGGGTAGATGTGTGTGGTCTACAGAATAGTCGGAGCTCACAGATGGAGATCGTGGTACTGAGGAGTTGAAAGAAGGAGAGTTTGGTGTGCTTGACATGGCACTGGTTGAAGAAAGTTTGCGTTGAGGAGAATCGTGTGATAATGAGTGGTCATCATCTGAGCTCTCCATCGACATAGATCTGGAACTAGGAGCTCTTTGCGCGAATGGTGCTCGTGGTGGTGCCAAAGCTCTTGGGCCATAACCACCTACAGCTAAAGAGCCATCGGGTCCTCTAAGTGCTCGCTGGCGCATCGATTCCTGACTAGGTCGAGATGGGGCATCGGAAGGAGATCGGCCAGGTCTGGGTGAACGTGGCCCTCTATATGGGCCGTCTGAAGGAGATCGACCTGGCCTACCCATACGTTGTTGAGGAGCAGATGGCGAACGTTCAGGCCTAAGTGATCGATCATTGTGAGGGCCAGATGGCGAACGACCCGGCCTGGGTGATCTTCCAGGTCCATTGTGAGGAGCAGAAGGAGAACGCTCTGGTCTGAGATTGTTACGCCCCTGATGTGGAGCTGAAGGCGAACGAGATGGCTGTGGAGATAAACGTCCCCGATACGGGGCATCAGATGGTGACCTTCCAGGTCTGTGTTGAAGTTGACGAGGACCTTGATCTATGGACGCTGGCGAAAGATCCCTTCTAGCTCCAAACATGCTCTGTGGTTCCCTCGGAGTCGGACTTGGAGGTGGTCTTCTGCCTCGAAATCCCTCTTCCTTCTCAGGAATTACATCGAATGCTGGAGTATCTGGAATCTTTCCCACCTCAGGATGCACCGAAACTGGCCTGAACATAGGTGCCTCGACCTCTGTCAGCTGTTGTCCCGGGCCAGCAGAAGCAGGAGATTCTGTAGGAGACAACTGGGCCAGAGGGGAATCTGCAAGTCTTTCGGCAGAGGCAGATCGTATACTTCCGAGTCGAGATTGGCCGAGAGAGTTCGCGATTGTCAGTGGTGGCAGACGACTTATGCGCTTTCCTCCATTTGTACTTTCATTCAACTGCCTGGCCAAGAGTCGACTTTGCGCCGCGAATGCATCCAAGGGTGAAAGTTCGGGTGGAATATCTCCGGCTACGTGTAAACGGGGGGAAGGTAATGAGCGCAGTGATGGGGATGGTAAACCATTACTGCTACTACCCATTGCCCCATGCGATTGTGACCGGAGGTCAATGAATTTGGGTCTGTTAGCCATATCGCCGGTTGGTGGATGACTTCCTATGTCCAAATTGTTCTATCCTTCCCATGAGTTTGTAGATAATTTCCAGAAATCTTGCGTGGTATCTTGTAACCAATGTGCGACCCTTTGTTGGTAATGTATTGTTGATTCACAGTAGAGAAGACGTTGTGGCTGCAGTAGATGTGATCAAGGGAACATCAAACGTTTGAGAGATGTTGGCGAATGAGGAGGAGGCGCAGTCAAAGTTCTCGTAAAATGTTGGGTCTGGAGCTGGCAGATGTGGATTCGAATGTATGCGATAATGTAAGGAGATGGTGACGGGCCGTGTACGATAACTTTTGGAAGTTCAAAAGGTTCAAAAGTTTGAGAGTTGAAAGTCGAAAGTGGAAAGTGGAAAGTCGAAAGAGCGAAGTCGTTAAGAAAAAGTTTAGGAGTGACAAATGGTATTGTATAGAATATGTAGTAGGTATTGAACTGAACCGAATTGAACTGTATTGAATTGAATTGAATCGAATCGTACCAGTAAAATGAAGGAGTGAATTAGCGTTTATGATTTGGACGTAACGCAAGTTAAAATGAATGTATTTCGATTGAGCAAATTTGAGATCTGAGATCTGAGATTGGAGATTGGAGGTTGGATTGAATGAATGATGAATGAAATGGGATCTTGTTGGCTTTTTTTTTATATTTGATAAACCTTTGGCGATAATATTCAACAACGAGAGATGTTGCAGAATGATTAGAATAGATACGATAATAATGTATGTAATGATTCTTTCTCGCTGCAGTTTCGAACAGGCATCATGTGCAGATTCTCTTGCCGTTGGTAATTTCCTCTTTTTTTTATTTTGGTTTTCCCTATTTTCCCCCCTCAATCTGTTGTGATCCCCGATATGCACGAAAGAATTGACCCAATGAATTGTTGGCCTTTAAGGGATATGGTATTGTGGAGTTGCCCCTTGATGAAGAAGACTTCGATGATATTGAAAAGATGTAAATAACCACATAAAAGTCAAAGTGAATAGAGAATCGAGGAAAAGAAAATAGAAAATAGAAAATAGAAAAAGGTCCAATGATCAAACGAATCTCTCTCGTATAACGATGATTAGTCGCCGTGAGGGAAAGGTATGTTCTTACTATGGCTAGAATAGTAGATGGAATGAAAAGAAGTAGAAGAAGGGATTGGCCAGGCCATTCATAGCAACACTTGGCAGATTATCAAATAACAAAATATATGTATGTATGGATGGATGGATGGATGGATGGATGGAATGGGTGTAATGTAATGTGATGATAAAGAGTGGAAGGTAGAAGGGCAGAGGGAATACGGATAAAATGCAAGGCAAGGCAAGGTCAGGTCAGGTCAGGTCAGGTCAAGTAAGATACTAGAAAGCCAAGCCAAGGGAAATTTCCCATGTAGCAACAAACGGGAATCTCTCCTTTCCTTTCCTCTCTCTACTTTCACTGGCGTTGATGCATGGCCATAATAATCAAACAATCACAGTCACGCACGATGAGTAGGAAAAATTAAAGGATATCACGAGAAGGAGAAAAAAAAGAAAGAGATGCCAGGAACAGAAAGTTCACATATAACCCTAATGACCACTCCTCCGTACCATCTAGGTCTTGATATTAAATCGATCCACTTCATCTACCCGCTGCTACTTTAAAACCTAGTGAACTGTGAACTAGAAGGAGATGATGCTAATAATAAACAAATCATCGCTCTCCCCCCCCATCAGACATCTCATTCCGTCTTTCCCATTCGTCACTTCTAACCTAGGTCCATTATCCAATCATCCACTCAATTCAATATCGAATCACCTTAAATTTCTAACATGTGGAGTTGAAACTACGACTACCCAGCTATCTAGCATCTACTGAGCACCATCTCCGCTACCACACGAAATAACGAGTACTAGGTAGGGAATAGCTATAGAGATCTGAAGAAACTGATTTGATAATGATAATGACAATAATAAGGGGGTCAAGACTGAAGACTGAAGACTGAAGACTCGACACTCACACTCACACTCATCAACACTCACGAGGAGGAGAATTTCATAAAGTTCCTGACTAATGCTCACTAGGAACAATTGAAGAAAAACGCCATAGCATAGGGGTTAAACCGATTTGATGTGCCGTTTGCACACCTACATCCATAATATATCGTATACCGGAGTATTTATCTAGCGAGCTGCGGTTACTTTCGCTATCACGACACATATCTCGTATTCATACCAGAATTTTCTGATTTCATTACTATGGTGTACTCATAGCGTCCATTAGACACCCATTTAATTCTGCACTGGAGCTTCGCATGCGATACGATATGTATCTAGAACTTTAATACGATATCTATCTAGAACCTCAAATACGATCGTAGACTTCAAAATGGATATCCATAAGATACGTATCTAATTCTTCACTAGAGCTTCATATATGATACGATATCTATCTAGAACTTCAAATACAATCGTAGACTTCAAAACGGATATCCATATCGATACGTATCTATCTAAATCTATACTCCATCCTAAAACTTCGAATACGATACCATCCACACCCAAAACAATCCTATCAAAACTTCCTCCAATCCCACTCCCACTAACATGTATTTCATCAATCCTATCCCATCCCATCTCATCTCACTTTGAATTCTCGAAACCCCAATCCCCTTCTTGTACTTACTTCCCCAACTGTCTATATATACATTATTGATATACATCACATCATCCATCCCATTACTATATCCATCTATTTCCTTCTCTACATACACATACACACGGTATAACCCACAACCTATCAACCTAACAACCCATCATCCATCAACCATCCATTTCCCCAGATTCAGAACCCATCCACCATCCACCCGTCCTTCCATCCAACCACCCAATCCAACCACCCAACCCAACCACCCAATCACAATCACCCAATCACAATCACTTCCCACCATCCCTGCCCCGTGCAAATATCACAATACTACAAATTGAAAGTTAAAAGTTAAAAGTTAAACCTTTCCCATCGTCCATCATCCATCATGCATCATGCATCATGCATTCACTATGCTCTTCCACCCACCACCTCCCACCCACCACCTCATCCCTCCCTCCCTACTTCCCTCCAAACTCGAACCCCAAACCTAAACCTAAAATCTCGCACCAACCCTCCTACTTCACATCACATCACATCGCATCACATCACTTGACTTCAATTCGACTCGATTCAGGACCCTGGGTTCAAAGCCGGCTGGTTGACTAGCTGGCTGAATACCTACTAGGTACATAAATGTAAATGGAGAGATACGAAATACTCTGTATATTCAACTGACTCCTATATAACCTCTCCGCACCCCCCTTTTCCACGAAGGGGAGAAAAAAAAGAAAGAAAGAAAGAAAGGAAGAAGAAAAAAATAGAAATAGAAATAGAATTGCGAATTTTGAAGCACGAATCAAATCACCGATATTTCAAGTTGAAGTTCAAGTATCGATTAGAATTATTGGTATATTTATTACCTATTGAAGTATTGAAGTATTAAAGTATTAAAGTATTGAAGTATTACCTATTGAAGTGTAATAACAAACCAACAATATACATACATACATACATACATACATATCAATCATCATCATCATCATCATCATCTCCACACCTAGATGTACAAAATTCGAATCTTATCTACCCATCATATCTCATCCCACTCCATTCCATCTGCAGTCTACCTCCCTACCTACCTACCTACCTATATATACATACATACATACATACATACACACACATATATACCCTACCCTACCCTACCCTACTCCATAATCACCTAGTACACATATACACAAACAGTAAGATACGCACCTATCAGAAGCCATCCCATTCCATTCCATCCTCCCATCATATCCTAAAACCCATCAACATCGTTACACCCAAACCCTTACCCTTCGATTTCCGATATCTGATACATACACATACACACACACATCCACATCCACATCCACATCCACAAACTCCACCCCGAGAACCGGGTTTCTTCCCCGTGCCTCCCGTACGTTTCAAAATTCAAGCCATGAAACTTCACATACATACATACTACATACATACATCCACAATGCATCCACAAAATCCCCTCAAACTCTCACAAAAATTGATAGAAGAATTTTTATATTCGCTACCTCCAAAAAAAAAAAAAGTAAAAACATAGTAAATTCCTATATTCAATGTACATAGTCCCTCTCCCATCCCTCTAAACTCCAATACCCGATGCCCAGCTCCCAAGAACGCACAAATAGTCACACACCCCCGACTACAGGTTCTTTGATTGCATTTTTCTTAATCTAGTTGCGCCTTCATATACACCACGGTCTACTGCTGCCGCGACGGTTAATGTACCTCCGACAATTGCACAGAGACCTGTCAAGAAACCTGCTAGTGTTTTGGTTCGCTCTTCCTTGTTGATGACTTTCATGGGTGAGATGTCCTGCGTATAATTAGTAGCTGTATGGATTAACATATTATGGAAAACTCACATATGAGAAGAAAACACCTGGGATTCCACCACGTGCATGTAACTTTTCCTTATGGCCTTCAGCGGAATCGTCACCACCATTGAGACTTCGGCGATGGCTCGTAACTGAATACTGGTGAGTTTCAATACTTCCGTCTTCAGAATGTCCATAAGTTCCGATATCCACGCTTGCGTCATGTGGTCTGCTATTGTGGTTGGTTTCCCAGCCAAGAGGAAGGTATGAAGTTGAAACAACCTTTACAAAGTACATAAAGTTGTAAGCAGCCTCATGGGTAATTTGTTCCGTGTTATCGAGAGGGTTCAAGTGATGATTGGTCCATGGGATAATAGAATCTGAGCCCAACTTCTTGAAAACTTCTTCTGGAAGCTCTGGTCCAAATCTAAGAGAATGGATGTGATGAGAAAATACGTGACCGCCGGGAACTGGTGTATCGAAGAAGTTGTTAAGGTCGTGAACATGCATATTTCCGTTGGTAAAACTGCGACCAGGAGCAATGTGGAAATTTCCAATGACCTTGTTTACCCGGAGACCACCTTCAATGCGACACCCTTCTTTGCGTTGAGAATCCAAACGTTCGCCATAATGTTCACGCTCGCATTGTTCGACATTTTCTCCTCGGCCAAAAGCCCATGAAACGGACGCATATGCTTCTCGTACTTCGTCACATGTATTACAGCAGCCTGACTTTTGCGCATTTGAAGGAGGGGTAGCACCGTAACATGCACCGCAGTAATCCGGATCAAGATGAGTTGCTGAATCTTCGGCACTATGACTACATGATATCAGTCACGACTCAGGAGTTACGATGGTGAAATACATACAGATCCAAGGCCTTGATATCAATGACCTTACCACCTTCTTCTTGAGGACCCAATCGAACCTTCTTAACTCCATGCATAACACCAACTTGCTGTTCTCCGGAAACATCCATTACGTCCAGCGTGAGAAGTTCGCAAGGGATTTTTGGAAAAGTAATGTTCAAATGAATTTCCATCTTTTCACCTGCAAAGAAAAATGATGATTAGTTTCCATTCCATAGAATTTCACAAATCTCGAGTATAACAAACCTCTTCCCTTGTCAACTACAAGCTCAGGATGTACTGTTATCCTCCTGTAATCCGCCCATTCTCCAAATGCCAGGTACAAGACGATTAGCAATGAAGCTATCGTTACAATTCCTCCTGAAGTTGTGCGCACTCTTGCTTCATCGACCGTTTTCGTAAAGGCATCTAGCCTTGTAAACCTAGATTTTGCAGGCATTTTCGCTGAATGTTGCAAAGAGTTGTATTATTATTGTTCGGCGGAGTAGCCTTGCGGCGTGGGAAATTGACTTTGGAGGATCTTTCAGAAATACATAAATCAAGTAGCTGATTCGAATAACTTTTAATTGGAATGTAGGAATGTGAATGAAGGATCGATCATATAAGAGCTTCTTTTTTGAAAAGGCCTTCCGGCAAAAGCATCAAATTTGAGTTCAGTGAGAATATAATATGTAAGTAAGAAGAAGTTATTTTTAATTTTGGAAAACCCTCAGTCCTTCAAGTCTCAGTCAGTCAGTCGCATTTTCAATTGAGGACAGCTTTCCATTGAATGGATTGCTCTCGGTCGGGTTGTTTTAGTCCCGCCCCTCTTGTGTGCACTTTCAAATCTAACCCATGTTCATGCAGGGAAAACTACGCGTAACACAGACATAATTATGGTTCAAAGCTTTGCAAGGTCGAATCGAGAATTGTCTGGGTGAATTGCCTGGGTGAGATGCTCAGATAAAGAAAGGGAGAGAATACAAAAGATACGGTGTAATACTGGGTATCATTGATAGGAATTTAGTAATACTGTTACGATCCTGCTCTCTTCTCAAACAATGGATTCATGACCACCTAATATGCTATACGGGTACCTGCTGGAGTGAGATTGATAGTTATTGCCTGAGGCATAAGTATTGTGCGGCCGCATGTGAAGGATAGCAGCTTCGGCATCAGTAGCCTTATGAACTTTTTGGTGAGGCTGAGTTATAAATAGAGGGGTCAAATAATGAAGCATGTTGAAACTGAACGAGGGTTGAATACCTACCCAAGTATCTTCCATTACAAAGCTCGTTTCCTAGTAGATAATCAGACTAATACGGCTGGTATCAATCTTGACCCGTTCATGAATCATCTGTACACGTGCAGTATTACTTTCCCAGGTACCTAGTAGGCAGAACCTTAAATCAAGGCTGGGCAGTAAATTCACGATTTGTGGTTTCAGCCTTGCTTACGTCAGTATTGAAGAACTTCTTATTCTTCCTCTTCCTAGTAACTTCTTCTCTTTATCCCAACAAACCTTCTTTCTTTCACCTTCACCATCAACTTAGACTAAAATCCTTCAAAACAATAGAATCGGAATTTCTTTACACCGTCGTTTCTACTGAATCAAATCGATTGCGATAAACTTCACCCCTTCTGCGAAACATCCAACACTCTTTCGAAAAAAATCGCATCTTCAAGATACGTCATAACAATCAGCAACAATCTTCTTGCACACTTTGCGACCTGCGATATTTAACCAACATTGCAAATTCAAATACGACTCTTATAATCAGAACGACGTCAAGATGATGAACCGAACATCAGCGCCTCCTAGAGGTCCGCGAAACTCGTCTTCAAGTACAAGAGGTGGTGGTCGCGTGGGTGGTGGTGGTATCACAAAACGACGAGCTGGTCCTATTCGAGTCGATAAAGATGGAGATTTAGATATGGATACTACGACAGGCGCAAACGGTCGCAAAGGGGGAAAGGGTGCTATCGGAGGTTCTGTTCCAACTGGACCACGCGGACATGGACGGGGAGGTGCAAGAAACACTGGCCGTGGTGGAGGAAGACTCGACGTCACACGAAATCCGCAGGCCATCCTTCGAGGAATGGGATCGCAATCGCAACAAGCCAACGTATTGGTTACTCTCTGGATCAAAGGATTGAAAGGGAGTAAAGCAGCTTCAAATAGTGACCAAGGCCTCTCGTCCCTAGTATCATTCCTCGAACGCAAGGCCACAGCATTGGACTCCAAATCGAAGAGAAGTATAAGAGTTAAAAAGGTACGTTTTTATCGCCATGATTTCGGGATCACGAGTTCCACTGCGCTGTCGCCGTAATTTTTCGCTCTTGTCATGTCAAGTTCACTACAACGAGTCGAGAATTGACACTTTCGCTTTACCACCTCATGATCCCGGTCGACTTCAAGGTTATCTATACCTTGCTAACCCTCGAATAGTCACACAAGAAAGGTGACGTCGTTGTTATCTCAGTTGCCCCGGAAGACGCAGCCTCTATTATGAAGCTGGATGGTTTCGCATTTGCTGGATCAACAATTGGCGTACAAGATAGCGAGCCATCGAAGACGTCGGAGAAGGCGGAGTCTGAGGAGGCTCGGTTAACTCGAGAGAAGATTCAGGGAGTTCTTGCAGCTCGATACGATCCCAACCTTAAGCTTTTAAATCTCTCGGCTTTGGGACAAGACGAGCAGTTGAAGCAGATGGGAATGTTTGAAGACAACACTCTTGTCTCGAAACTTTTCCCAGTTTTGATGGTCATCTGCGACAAATTATTCACCACTCCACAAGCTAAGAAGGATGCCATAGTCAGTGTCACTTTGACCGACAACTCATTGGCCGATCTTTCAAACGTCACCTCCTTGGCTTCAACATTTCCAGACTTAAAGAACCTGGATCTTTCCAGAAATCAGTTCGCCGATCTGGAATCCCTGAAATTATGGCGCTGGAAATTCCGTCACCTTGAAAACCTAGTTTTATCGGGCAATCCTATAGAAACCCTCGTTCCAGATTACGCAACCGACATTGTACGCTGGTTTCCGGAACTTCAACAGTTGAGTGGTGTCCAGGTCAGAAGTGTTGCTCAAGTCCATGCAGATCTTGAGGCTATTAAATCACCATTTCCAATCGCCAGCCCATCTTTCCGAGATGTCGCACAAGTTGGGGAAAACTTCGTAAGGCAATTTTTCGGAGCATACGATAATGATCGCAATGCCTTACTCACTAATTTCTACGATGCCGAGTCTTCTTTCTCACTATCTGTCAATATGTCAGCAGTTCGAGACCGCGATCATTCATTGCCTGTCCCACCATGGGCAGCGTACAACAAATTCAATCGAAACCTTGTCAAATATACACATTTGTCTACTAGATTATCTCGAAAATCTACTGGGTCTCAAGAAATTCAAGCCACCTGGAACGATTTACCTAAAACAATTCACCCCGAGATCGCCACCCGACCCGAACTATATCTTGTCGAATGTCAACCGCTTCCAGGTCTTCCTGATCCTTCTGGGCAGAGTGCCGCTGGGGTTGACGGTCTTCTCATCGACGTACACGGTGAATTTGAGGAGAATATTCCTAATTTTGAAGGCAAAGCTCTCCGTAGCTTTTCGCGGTACTTTATACTCGGACCCGGAGGGCCTAATGGTCCCCCTATCAGGGTTCTTAGCGATATGCTTGCGCTTAGGGCTTGGAGTCCTTTGGCTCAGACGACTGCAGTTCAAGGACCTCAGCCGGTTCCAGTACTTCCAAATGTTCCTCAGGTTCCTATTGTCGATGCTTCACTCACGCCTGAGCAGCAACAAAAGATATGCGCCGAGAAACTTTCCGCTGAGACAGGCATGAATTTACAATATTCGGCCATGTGCTTAGCAGAGACAGGATGGAATTTAGAACAGGCCTACATTGCTTTCCAAGCCAACAAGGCGAATTTACCAGCGGAGGCGTATCAAAAGCCATAGGTTAGAGGAAAGACGGAAGGGGGAGGAAGGAACGCAGGAAAGAGTTCATTAGCACCGGCTTTCCTTTTTTTTTTTTTTTTGTGGATTAAGATAATGAAAGAGAAATGGGTGGCGAGCATTTTGCATGAAATGGAGGCTATGGCAGCATCAAATGGAGTTTTTTTGGTCTCATCAGAATTGTATCAAGCAATTCTTAGCGCAAATGGAGTTTTGGGAATACATATACATACAGTTGTAAAAACGTATGTTTAGCGGAATTAAAGGGGACGGATGCATATGAATTATTACACGCAAATCAAATTTTGGACGATGTGCTCTGTGCTCTGTGCTCTGTGTGCTCAGCGTCTTTGAGAAGGATACGAGGAATTTGTAGATAGGATGGATGGATGAACTTGTCCGGATTATGATAATTGGTACTGTACTATACTATAGATACCAGGTACTCTATAGCGGATTATACAGTTTTTGAATTCTTGATTCTTGCATGACTACTTGCTTGTTTCTTTTTTAATGTGACTTCATGTGGTTTTGTATGGTTATGTAATGGTAATAGATAGGTATCACTCACTCACTCACTCACTCACCATCTTACTCATGGTGAAAACTTTAAGAAAACTCGAAGATATAATCAACTAGACATTGCTAGGTATGTAGATACAAGCATTTAAAAAACAATAGCTACCTACCTACCTACCTACCTAGTACCTCGCTAACCCTCACCGAAAACTTCATTCTTAATAAAGGAAAGGAAAAGGGAGAGAGGAAAGAGGAGAGAAGAGAGGGGATTACATGATCTGTGGACCCATCTATGTTTAATTCATTGCATCATATCCTACTCGTTTTAGCACCCAAGACTTATATCATACAGCTACCTAGGGTTGAAACAAGAGTGACTTGTGGTCTCTTTGAGGCGAGTTGGTGATTTTAGCGAAGACTAGAATGGTGTATATCTGTATGGAACTAGAATAGAATAGAATTGGCTGAATACGTACCTCCTTTCATAATGCTTCTTTCTAACTAGGGACTTAGGTAGGGTTTCTCTGGACCTTTGTATTCTTATTCGTTCATCTATTGCAATCTATCTCCACAAGGTTCTAGTAATGGATGGAAAGTCATGAGTTGCAAGTGAGAAGAACAGGAGCAATAGTATCATCAAGTTTATTCCCACGAGTATGAAGACAAATGCCAAACAACCAATCGTTAAATTTCGTATTATTATATCATTCGTATCGCTACATAAATCTATCACGTTCTCCTAATTCTTTGTGCTCCAACCCTTCCATCTATCTAACACTATGTATTCCCACCCGCCTGTCTCAGCGGATGCGCTTCCGTATTCAACACCCACTCATCCAAACTCACCACTCCTGGTTCACTAAACAACAAGTAGAAATACTTCAACGTCTCTGCCAACCAGAAACTTTCCATTGAATCTTCCTTGTCTGGTTTTTGCTCCATCACATTTTTGATTCTCGCATTGGCTAAAGGTGTATGCGTATGTTTCACAATGGCTTTAAACATTTTCCAGCCCGTTTCTTGCCAGGCACGATCACCCGTTAATCTGTACATGATGAAGACGGATTCGATGGCTTCGGGGCGGAGTTGGTAGGATGGATCGTCGACGCGGATATACCCGGTGTCTGAACTGGAGCCGGAGAAAGTACAGGAAGATGTATTGGTGCAAGGGTTGACGTGGAAGATTTCAGGCATGATTCCCGAAGGCGTGTGTTCGTATGCCCAAACGCAACCTTTGGTGAGTTTGATGGCAGTTTCCATTTCTGATGGGGATTGGGATATCCGGGAGCCAAGACCTATCATACCTCCGGTGAAACAACCAAGATGTTGGATCTGAGCCGTTAGGAGTGGTTTGCCGGAATTGATGTTCACTGTGCCTGTGAAGAGAATATCGGGATTGCCTGGGAGACTGGGACGAAAAACTAGGTATTCGTTTATGGTTGATAATGCAGTACGATACATTTTCAGGTATTGATCAGCAGAGGAGGATTTTGGAAGAAGTAAATGGGTTTTTGGAAGATATTCAAAAGCAGAATCTTTGATTGTATACGTTAGTGAAGGAATGAGATATGAGAAACATCGATTGACGTACCGGCAAAAGCTCCCAAAGTAAAAGAACGACTCCCAAATGACAACTCAGATCCCATGCAGTTTGCTTGGGACGGCCACATGCCTGGTAGTGTCGTAGTATTCTGAGTAGCTTCCAGTTGATCCGTAATTTTCTGTATTGCATTTGCGTATTTTTGATCACCAGTGACTTGACTCAAACGAATGAATTCGAGTGACAGACTTGCAATTTGGGCGACTAGAACACCATTTTCGCCCGCTATCTTGTCTCCTTTGGGAAGTTCTTTCTCCCACCAATAATATGGAGTAGGGATACCACTCTCGGTATTAAATGCCCTGAATAATAAATCCCCAAGCTGTTTTGCTTTCTCAAGCAAAATAGGATATTTATGACCACTGATATCCCATGCCCCCAGCAACCCACCGAGATACCGAATGGTAGTTTCGAAAACAGGTACACGTTCAGCATTGGGTTTAGAAAAGTCGATGTTCTTGAGAGATTCCAAGGCTTCTTCAAATTCCTCCTTCAGTCCCATAATATAAAGTGTATCCAGAGAATCCACCAATGTCGCAGCCCAACCCACAAATGTATCTTTTTGACCACCTGAAAGTGGCATCACCTCATCATGCATCCATGCATTCTTTTTATATCCATTCCATGCATGTAGAAATTCCTCTCTCACTTTCTTTTGCCTCGTTAATCGTACTGCTTTAGCAGGTCTGGATTCTCTTGAAAATGTGGTTGCTTGTATGCTATATCGACCAGCAGGAGGTAGTGGTAGTTCTATTGAAGGATGGAAAGAGAGGAATCCATATCGACTGTTTAGTGAGAAGCGATTGGTTGTGGAAAAGATGTAGACGCAAATTAAGAGTACAACTGTGATGGGTATGAATCGTTTTTGAAATCTTGTTCGTTGTGATCCTGGATACGATCGTGGGGTTAGGAGAGCTTTCTCCTTATATTCGAGAATCATTCTTTAAATTGCTGGTAAATATTTCTTCTTATGACTCTAGGGCAATGTGGATTCTCTAGATTTCCTCAATTGAGGGGGATATCACAAGATTGTGGATAGGGCAGACAAGAAAAGAAGAGGAATAAAGAAGGAAAAGGGTCTCAAGGGGAAGTGAGAATAAGTGAATCAATCACTATTTGGGTAGATTGAAGTGAATAGAAAATACTTATGGGTGTTTGAAAGCCCTATATACCTAACTACAAACTCTCTCCTCCAGCTGTCAACGTTTGACATAATCGGGGTGCTTGTTCATCTTTTCGAAACTCTTGGGAGGAAAGAGTGAGCTATGGCTAATCGTTGCATCTCTCTTCATGAATATCATCACATATCATGAGATGTAATTGGGCGATGAGTCGCACATGCCCATAACATATGGAAACTCAATTGCTTCTCGATTCAACAATGTTTCGGAACCAAAACTTGAGCGGGGACCTCAAAATCGAGGGTTAAGCTTCATTGGGTTAGACGGATCTGTAGATCTGCGGGTGTACCTATTCCTTGGGCCCATTTTCAATCCTACTAACCCACAAATTGACCACCCAAGCCACCTACCTTAAAGTTTGAATCAACCATAAATAGATTGATTTGATCTTCATATTTAATTTTCTTTCTCGAAGATCCAATGATGACATTGTTGATTGTTCTACGATAATCCCCAGCCAGAATATATCTGGGTAATGATAAGAATCATGGATGGTGTAAGATCAACATGGAAACTTCGACAGGAATTTTCGGCTTTCCGTGTTCAGCTTGGCTGTGCCTGTTTGACTCAAGATTGCACGGACAAGAGCATACTCGGCCAGCAAACTCATGTATCATGCCCTACAAAGGTATCTTCAATGGATGCATGAAGACCAGTACTGGTTGTCTTGATTGATTGTTAAGTTGAGTTTCTGGAAACGAAAGCCGAGTGGTACGATGGATGTCACTCAAAAAGTAATCCCGACGTCGAACACCTATATATACAAATTGAGAATGACTCAATGGCAGGAAGTCATGATATTCACTTAATCTCATACAGCATATCTAAGGAAATTTGAGAGTTTGAGGTGTTCAATATCAGCATAATTATGGTCTACATTCCTTCACCGACTCCCTGTCTTCAAATATGAAATTAAGATGGGCCTGAATATCAATCTGATCATGCAATTATTTGTGTGATACAGCCACCCCGCTGTTACACAACGACGCCTACTTTGATTCCATTCTTACTACTTGCAACTCCGGTCATTAGTTCCACCCACTCCATCACCTCGTCTTTACAGTTTATTTCTCTCCATTCTTGTGCCATCCTCGCTAGTACATACGCCGTTTCCGTCAAAGCCAAATTCTGACCAGGACACATCCTCGGTCCTCCTATAAAGGGAAGATAGTTCCACCCTGGTCGCACCGTCTCCCATCTCTCTGGCCGAAAGATATCTGGGTCAGGTTGGAAGCAAGGTGCCAGCATGTGAAGGGCGTGGAAAGAAGCAAAAACTATCTGACCCTTTTTCACGAGGATAGGTGAGGTGCCTTGCGGACCGCCTCCAGTGGGCAGTATGGTGTCTTGCAAGGCAATTCTTGTATCGGTGGGAGCAACGGGATGTAAACGTAATACTAGTGGCATGGGTTTAGTGGTGGTTTAAATAAGCAAGTGGCTACAATGACTTACTTTCCTTGATGGCATACTGCAGATAGTGAAGATTCTTCAGCGACTCAAATGTGAATGGCTTATCACCCTCTGCAAGAATTTCAGACCGAAGTTTCTTCCACATCTCGGAGTTTCGACAAAGATGGAAAATCGCGTTACCAATCGTGATAGCGGAAGATTCATGACCTGCTAAGAAGACTTGGAGGATTTGGTTTCGAAGATCGTCACGACTACCTGTCTGTTTTGCCATCTCATGCAACAATACATAGCGATGATTACCATTGTTGTCATCTTCTTCTGAATCCGAATCTTCTAGTTTTCCTTTTTGTTTTTCTTCCCGGGCAGCTAGATAGCTGCGCCGAAACTCCATGGCTTTATCTACATATCGATCTGCAAATGAATGAGTGATCTTTATTGATTTATACTACTTCTTATCCCAATAAAGAAACCTCAAACGTCCTAGTTGGAAGCGGATTCCCATGCCTCTTATAGCATAGTCAAAAGCTGCGAGGCACTCTTCTGTTTGGAATGGGGTCTCGGGAGATAGTGTATTCATGGACTCTCCGAAAAGAAACTCCGTAGATGTGTCGAAAATCTTGGCACATGTCAACACTCAGATTGCAGTCAAATTGGTATAGATTTAAGAAAAAGAGCAGTCATACCAGTTTATTTAAAAGTGGTTTCAAGTTAACCTTGGTTCCATCTGTTGGGACTAACGCAAGAAATTTCTGAAAGTGAACTTCGAACGCTGGAAGATTGGCAACATTTGATTTGGTAAAGGTAGGTCGAATCAAGGCTCTGGACTGTTCCCAAAATGGACCATCCATAGTGAACACCCCTTCACCAAGAAATGGCAAAGTAGGAGGTTGACGCAATGGCTGAACACCATAATGAGTAAAGTTTAGAGCATGAACAGTTTGCAGAACCCTCGCATCGACAGTACAGATAGCATGTTTGGTTTGAACTTTCGCCGAGAGCGTATTCCCATAAGTTTGGAAGCGATTTACCCAGGTATTGAGTAGATTCGACTTAATCATTTGACGGAAATTGTCGATGAAAAGATCGAGCCCAAGAATCGGATCTTTGTTGGGATATTTAGGAGGGGATTGACAGCCATGTTTCTTTAATTCCTGTCGTATATACCATTTCGACACAAGTGTTTCCAAAGAGTAGTAGGCAAATAATAAAGCAATGATAGTGCCACCAATTTCATTTCTGTATTCCATCTTCGCACTACAATGAATAGATACAATACATGAAATTCATGTTTGTGAAGAGGCGGGATGAACAGAAGCTACTCAAACTCATATGAGCATTACATAGTTCCAACGAGTTGGTACTCCGAGGTACGCCTCGATCGTGCATGAGAGATACATTTCTCGGAAGTAAAATCGCGTTACGCAGTAAATACAGAGGTAGATGGCCACGAATTTCTTTTCTGTTGGATCTTAGCAAGGTAAGCTGTCGTCGGTCAATTGTTTGTGCATGTCTTCCAACTTTCCAACCCAACGCCAGGTTTCACGGCATGTCGTGTCACGAAGTTTCTCATTGGTTCTTAGCACAGGGAGCTTTCTTGTCTCTTTCCTCTTCATATATCTGTTGCTTTGATATACAGGCATGAATCGAGATTGTCTCTCGTTTACGTGTATAATACTTGAATCCGGATTAGGATTAGGATAGAGAGATAATAATCATTGTGACTATAATAATATAGTAGCATTTACAGTTACACAACTTCAAGATACAGACAGATATCTGTAAACCACGACCAGGAAAAGTCGAGATCTATGGGGTAAAAGGATTTACGTATACCAGAGCATTATCTTGTGATACTCGAAAACTATAAAGCCCGAACTGGCGAAGAGATTGAGCGAGCGATGATGGGTGATTATCTGGGATTCACTCGCGAGACATAATGTTTGAATGGAAACCTTTTCTTTTGCCATTTGAACATATATCAGAGATTGATCGTACTTGCTTGCTTGCTTGCTTCTAATACATACCTACATGTATCATGCAAAATGGAGATATAATACAAGAAATAAATATCTTCAAAGTAGAGCTAGACGAGTGTATTAATGCACCTCTCTTAAATCAGACCCATAAATAAGTTACTATCGGTTCAAACAACTACAGATAAAAAGCGGGTATAATTTACATCTCCATCTCCATCTCCCTTTCATCAACCTCACTATCACGAATTTCCTCGCCCATCATCCATCATCCATCATTCGTCACGCAACAAAAACCCTCTCACTCCTCCCATTATTCGCGTTCTTCCCATTTCCACCTCCGTTCTTCTTATTCCCATTTCCATTTCCGTTCCCATTTCCTCCATTCTTTTTAGCAGCCGCCGCAGTAGTAGTCGCCGCAGTTGCTGCAGATGCAGTAGTACTCGTAGCAATTGCCGTTAAAGAAGAGCTGAGAAGTGCTTCGACGGCGAATATTCCTTGTTCGTTGAGTGTTGCTTCAGAGTTGGCTTTCATAGCGGCAGGAAGATCTTTGTTGTTTCTGGGGCGGGTGATGGTTAGTGGTTTTCTTATGCGAGGTATGTTTCCAAGTGATAGATATAGATATAGGAGAGTAATAGGAATATCGGAATCATGGAACTTACTGTAAGACCTGAGCCTCAACACCTTCTAATGTCTGTGCTGTGGCAATAGTACCGGGTGTGTTCTTGCTAGCTGTCTCATCTGTCTGCATTACTGCAAAGCAACCACCGAATGGGCCAGCTGTTGCTGCATTGAAACAGCGGATTGTACAGATATTTCCTGTTGAGGCTAATTTTGTGTTAGTTACATTTAGGGTTTGATGACCTTGGGTTATGGTTATATAAAGAGAGGGGGAAAGGAGAAAGGGATGAGATACATACCGCCAATACAACTCATGTTACTGGGCATAGTAACCGCCAATTTAATATTCCCGTTCGCTCCATCCGTCTCCTTAACGGTCAACTTCGTCTGACCGGAGCCTAGTGCATTACTCGTCTGATCCATATCACATGTATACGGCCCTGCTCCATTCGTACCTCCTTGCTGCATCACCACATTAACCGTACTTCCTTTCGTAACTGATGTTACGGTTTTATTGGCTAATTGGGTCTCAGTGTTTTCACCAATATCGATGTTGCCATTGAGAAGAGTACGTCCACATTCGTTGACTACGTTGGTGCTAATTTCGGTGGGGTTGATTATGTTGGCATCGTTGGCGTTAAGTACGACTTGAAGGGGGAGAGATGCGGGAGAGCCTTTGGTCCCTTGGGCTGAAAGAAGAACGCCTTGGGCGTGGACTGAGACTAGGAGGGAGGAAGTCAATAGGAAGAGTTGTTTGAGCGAAGACATTTTGACTTGTTTGATGGTAGAATACAAAAAGTATGTAATTATGCACAGCACAGTGGCGATATGAAGTATAGAAATAGAATAGATAAACCAGGAGAAAATCAGACCTGCTGAGGATAAGATTATAATGAACGATGAAAGAAGATAGAGTAAGTGAATGAAATCAACAGCAGTGAGAAACAGAATTCCTTCAAGCCCGTGGTATGAGGATCATTTTCATCTTATACAGATATAAAAGTAAACATACATTTCCACCTACATAGCATTACGACGATTTTTCATACATGAGGCGATTTTTCAACATCTCAAACGTAGGAGTCAAAGATCAGATGCGACGACCATACATCAAAAATACCACTTGGAACAAATCCCGTCGCGAGGGTGTGGGGCGGCATCAACAAAATAGCCGAAAGTGACCTCTCATGATTGAGGTGAGTGAAAGTGGAGCCGTGTCAGGGGTAATTCTAGCCGCTTGGCATGTCCCATGGTGCGAGAAGTGGAGAAAACTTCTGCAAGATCAACGATATGAGACGAAGCAGAAATGTATGGATGATGAACAACTCGAGGAATGGACGATTGACAGGGCTATTTTTATACTACAAAACCCGTTTATGCCTTAAAAATGGTAGATCACGGGCAGACAAGAGGTGGATGAGAAGAGATACATATCTGCAAAGCGATATACGCTAGCGACAGATTGTGAGGATGGAAAACATATTCAATGGAGATAAAAGCATTTTTATTCTCATCTGAACTATGAGATTGAGATGACAGTCTCTCCTTTCTCAATCACTCTTCGTTTCTTGCCTTGAGTATGCTGGAACGTCTTCTCCGGCTTTCCAGAAGTACTTTGATCCAGGATGTGACTCTGAAAGTCTGTTTTGACCTTTGACACCCAAATAATTTTCTCTTAATGTGCCGCCAGGGACAGCGTAGTCATCCCAAAATAATCCTCTCTTCCGTAATTCAGGAAGTAAATACTTTATCATGTCGTCGAATGTCTCTGGAATGCTAGCATAACTGAAATTGAATCCGTCGACATCAGAGACCTCTACCCACCTTTCTAGTTCGTCTGCGACTGTCTTTGCATTTCCGATGAGCTTCGCGCCATTTCCTCCCAGGATGAGATGTTCGGCAATAGTCTTCTTGTTCCAGGTTAAACCTTGTGGGGAGACTGATGCCCAGTGATTTACCATACTCCTTACTGCAGGGGGAGCGCTTTCAATGAACCGAAAATCTTCATCATCACCATATGAGCTTAGATCATACCCAGACCAACCTCCAAATAACGATAGGGCTCCTTCTCGATCGCCGTAACTTGCAAGCTTCTCGAATTTCTCCTGTGCCTTTTCATCGGTCTCAGCAACAATAACCAAAAGCCCAGCGACAATCTTGATACTAGCCGGATCTCTTCCTAACTCCTTAGCTTGCGAGCGAATCGAATCTACCGACGGACGAATAAGTTCTGGAGTGTGTGCATTCAGGAAAATGGCTTCAGCGTGTGTGGCAGCAAACTTCTTTCCCGCGGAGGATGTTCCAGCTTGGAATAGAAATGGGGTCCGTTGGGGAGAAGGTTCACACAAATGTGGGCCTGGTACATTAAAGTATTTTCCCTTATGGTTAATCTGCCTTACACCCTTTGGATCCGCATATGAACTCGATCCTGGGGGTTGCACAGCATCATCTCTCCAAGATGCTTCCCAAAGCTTGTATGTAACGTCAAGGTATTCATGGGCAATCTTATATCGCTCATCGTGTTCGATTTGAGTATCGAGGCCAAGATTTCGAGCTGCAGAGTCGAGATATGATGTAACTATGTTCCATGCAATTCGCCCATCACTAAGATGATCGACTGTCGAGAATCTGCGAGCAAGTAGATAAGGTTGTTCGTAGGTTGTTGAAGCAGTCACACCAAATCCAATACTTTTTGTAGCTGCAGCCTTTTTTCTTAGGTCAGATATTGCTTTGTAGCGAGCCATGATTCTTCTAGGAAAGACTTACCATGGCAGGAATGCTATATAATGGATCATTTATCGGGAATTGAGATGCCGCAGGTATTGTCGGTTCAAGATTGGCAGGTCCTTTGTAAACATCATAACCTCCTAGAACATCTGCGAAGAATATGGCATGGAATTTGGCCTTTTCGAGTTTCTCCGCAAGTGCAATCCATGATTTGATGTTCTTGTATTCGGAACCTTGATCACCAGGATATTTGAAGAGACCTGGATTGAGATGGCCGGGTGCTTGCATGGCAAACGCATTGAGAATGAGCTGTTTCTTGGTAGAAGACATGTTGAATATGCGGATCGAAATTATCGGGGAAGAAAAACTGATTTGAACAGAGATAATGAATGCGTCCAACCTTACAGTTTATCTTCCAAATGTAATGAGAGGGGGGACGCGCGAGCAGTAAAGGAAACCCAGACTTACAATCTATACTCTAAACCTTAGGTAATGGCATTATCTCAATCAATTGTAGATAGCTGCCAGTGCCGGTACCATGCGCATGAAATGACGAGAATATAAGTTCCATCGTGCCATTATTCGCTGAAGGTTAAAATGCAGCATGATGAAGAAGACTCTCGTTTGATTGAGTATTGATGGCGTCTTATTCCTTGCAAAAGCACAAATACGCTAACCCCGCACGTGCCCCGCCAATGAACCCACATCCATCTTGCAGCTTGAAGCTCAACATCAGCTAATCAAGCCGATACATTCTTCCACTAGAATGAAGTCGACAATCCCCCATGTAATCACATAATCATCCAGATTTTGCCAATCCTATCAATCTTCTTTCCAATGCCTGTTCCTTCCGAACTGTACCGCAGATTTCGTCATGTTGTGCATCAAATAGATACCCAGATAACCAATATCGTTACGATTGCAACCCCAACTTACCCCTCTATGTCCAGGGTTGCATGTCTATTTGCGATGAACGGGAGAATAGAGAGTATCTTAATGATAAGGATCTCGAGTTGAGTCTCCTCAGTCCTAAAGCTAGGAAAAAATATGGGTCCGAAAGTCCATGTTGATACAGTTCGTAGATGCTGCAATGAGATACCATAATATCGTGATTGATAGTATCAATTATCTTCGGGGAGCGGTTTTGTAATGTGTTTTACTGTTGCCATCTCTTTTGTTCTCAGCCCTGCTGTGATACTCTTCAATTGTCATTCTCGTTGTTTAGAAGTCCTAGATAGAAACCTAGAGATTTTACTTCACTTACCTAGACATTCATCAAAAGTCAACTATTAACAAAATATGTCGCCTTCTGCGGTTGCTTTGGAAACACATGGGATTGATACTGCTTCAAACCCCAAAATCGAATCTTCATCTTTGGCGTTTGCAGAGGCGCCAGCTTCAACAACCATCGATGTTAAGGCAAACGGTGATGGCTTGGTTCAAAACAAATCTTCTTTACTATTCAGACCTACTCCGCAGCCCTCTTTTAAAATAGAAGACCACCCAGTCGATATCGTTAAACCCCTGAAGGTCTGTGACTATCTTAATTCTTGTTTCTTAACGGTACACTAATCAATAATTTAATAGGTTGCAGTTATTGGTGCTGGTCTTGCTGGTATCAACGCAGGTATACTTTTACCTGCTAAGGTGCCTGGAATTCAACTTACAATTTTCGAGAAGAATGCCGATGTTGGTGGGACTTGGTTTGAAAATATCTATCCAGGAGTTCGTTGCGACATACCTGCAAACGTTTATCAATCAACATTTGAGCCTAATACACAATGGTCCGAAGAATACGCACAAGGAAAGGAAATCAGAGAATACTGGCAGAAGGTTGCAAGAAAGCACAATGTATACAATTACCTCAAATTCAACCGCAAGATTGCTGGGGCGGTCTGGGATGAGGAGAATGCACAATGGTCATTGAGTATTGAGAATGTTGAGAACGGAGATATAACGGAAGAACAATTCGAAGTAGTTATTACGGCAATCGGTAGATTCAATGCTTGGAAACTCCCGGACTACCCTGGTATCGGCGATTACAAGGGACATCTTCGTCATTCTTCAAATTGGGACCCAAACTTTGATCCTACGGGTAAAACTGTCGCGGTCCTTGGAAATGGTGCTAGCGGCTTGCAGGTGGTTCCAAACCTCCAAAAAGTTGTGAAGCATTTAGACCATTATGCACGTAGCAAGACTTGGATTGCGGGATCTTTCGGTGGTGAAGGTGAAGGTAGAAGACTGGAACCAAATTACTTTCCTCCAGATCTCCTCAAATCATTCGAGGATCCAGAAACTTATCAAAAATTTCGAAAAGAGCTTGAGGGAAAGTTCTATGGTCGATTTGCCGCTCTATTTAAGGGGACAGAAGATAACAAAAAACTAGAAGAAGATTTCCGAAAGTTGATGGCAGAACGTTTAAAAAAGAAGCCAGAGTTATTGGATGCTATTGTTCCGGACTTCGCGCCAAACTGTCGTCGTTTGACTCCTGGACCTGGCTATCTAGAGGCTTTGACTGAGGAAAACGTCTCTTTTATTCAAACTCCTATCGAGAGATTTACCGAGGAAGGTATTGTTACAATTGATGGTGTTGAAAGAAAGGTCGATGCAGTAATATGCTCCACAGGAGCAAACATTGATATGCGACCACCATTTCCAATTGTTGCATTTGGTCATAATCTACGCGATGCATGGGATCCTGACCCTCTTACATATCTTGGAGTCGCATCGCCTTCCTTTCCTAACCTTCTCTTTGTCTCCGGACCCAATGCTCATGGAACAAGTGGCACAGTTCCAAACCAAACCGAAACACAAATAACTTACTTGGCTAAGATACTGCGAAAGGTTGGCCAGCAGAGTATCAAGACCTTCGTCCCATCCAAGGAGGCGACAAATGATTTCATCGCTTATAGTGATGCTTTCTTTCCCAGAACAGTATGGACAGATAATTGTAAATCTTGGGCAAACTCTGGCAGACCAGGAGGACGAATTCATGGTCACTGGCCTGGAAGCGCATCGCATGTTAATTTTATAAGAAAAGATCCCAGGTGGGAAGATTGGGAATATACTTACAAATCCAAAACTGGAAATAGATTTGCATATCTAGGAAATGGTTGGACGGTAAAGGAGACGATTGCGGGTAGTGACTTGACTCCATATCTCAAACGCCCGGATCAGATTGATTTGAGAAGTTATCATGAAGAATGGTTTGAAGGCTTGTAGAGTAGATCGTGTCAGATAACATCGATTCTTTAATATTATACAAATTTTATACCACAATCTCCGCGACATGGCAAGGGCCTGTTGGACACAAAACTCTGCTGCTTAACTTCTTCGGACTCTGAACCTGTCAATTCTGAATTTTCAATACCCCCCATCTCCTGATTAAATCCAGCGATTTGGTTCAGACCAAGAGGTTCGAGATTTGACTTTTCTTTCCAAAAGAGAAGTCTAGATGAACTCAACCTAAAAGAAACCTCGTAAAAAAGATTTAAACATTTTCGCAACGGATCTGATAGAGGAATGTAGACAAGCGTATCTGCTTATCGTTGGCCAAACCCCCCTAATGCACCGTTAGTTCGAGTATGATGTTCGTCATGACAAGGTTTCGATTTCGTGCTCGTCACGCCATGTAAACGATGTGGAAAATACATGTGTACCGACACTTGAGTTCAACATGAGTACCGTGCATGCGTATCTGAGGAAATCTTGGATAAATAAAATGGTTTAGGACCCCAGTATCGAATCTTCACTTCTATGTTGCGCAGTTTGACTTAATTTCCACTTCATTGAGAATCATGGCGTCGGATAAATCAGGAGCACTCGATACTTCGTTGTCTTCGGATAATGAAGCTCTACCTGTAGTCAGGGAAAAGCACCCAGGTACTTCTTATTTATCCTTCTTATATCTCTTTTCTTGTGCATATGAAGCTGACAAAATAACAGTAAAATGGTATCGTTCCACTCTCTACAATTCTATAATTCTTGGAATCTGCAACTTCCTGGCCCCGGGTATCTGGGGTGCCATGAACAGTCTCGGCGCCGGTGGCGAAGAATCTCCTCACCTAGTCAATGCTGCCAATGCTCTCACTTTCTGCCTGATGGTACTATCCTGTTTCTTCTCCTCCGTTCTCGTTAAATATATCGGTATTAAGGCCGCACTCATTTTCGGCACTATTGGCTATGCCCCTTATGCCGCTGGTCTCTACTGCAATAATCGATATGGCAACGAATGGCTTGTACTTCTCGGTGCCGCCCTCTGCGGTATTTCGGCAGGTGTATTCTGGATGGCTGAAGCAGCCATCGCGCTGAGTTATCCGGAGCCAGAGAATCAGGGAAGATTCCTAGGGCTGTGGTTGAGTTTCCGTGTTGCCGGACAGGTACTTGGAGGCGTGATTAACCTGGCTCTCAATGCGGATAATTCTGGCAAAGGAAAGGTATCCTACAATGTGTATCTTGTATTCATCGCCCTACAAGCCCTTGGACCCTTTGCAGCGCTTCTCCTCACACCACCCGAAAAGGTTCAGCGAACTGATGGAGTGATACCCAACCTTCGCATTTCCGAATCAAGCTGGAGAGAAATAAAGCTTACATCAAAATTGTTCATAAGTAAATATTTTTTGTTATTGGTGCCAGTTATTGCGCAAGGTGTGTATAGTGAAGCGGTTATGTTTACGTACGAATCTGTTTGGCTTAGTGTTAGAGGAAGAGCATTAGGCTCGTTTCTTTCAGGTATTGTGGCAATGATTTCTGGCAATTTATTGGGTGCATTCTTGGATCGGGAGAAGTGGTCTTTGAAGAAGAGAGCGAGGTGGGCTTTTATTGTTATCTTGGGATTACAGGGTGTAAGTACCATCCGCTCTTTGATTTTCGAGTATCCTGTTACTGATCCCTATATTATAGGTATGGTGGATATGGGGAACCGTCTTGGTCACAAACTACTGGGGACAGAATCCGCTACCAGTATATGATTGGACGGATGGCGGAGCATTTGTTAGAACCTTCCTATTATTTTTAGGATGGGTCTCTGGCTTTCAGCTGAATTATCTATTCTTGTAGGTCTCTTCTTACTAAAACCCAGTCTCTATCCATACAAAAGCACTTCTAAATAACTCAACACTAACAACAATTAGATACTTCCTCGTAGGAAACCTCGCCAAAACGCCTGAAGAAGTAGTAAGAATAGCAGCACTACTTCGAGGAACCGAATCAGCTGTTCAAGCTGTTAGTGTAAGTTCCCCATTGTCATCTTAAAATTCTCATCTGTATTGTGTTGTAACTAACAAAATGTATAGTACGGTTTGAATAGTGTTACAGTAATGGGTGATATTGGGGGCGTGTATCTCAACTTTGGTCTTTGGGGATTAGCGTTGATCCCAGGATGGTTACTGGTAAAAGAGATTGGAGTAACTCTTGGGGATAGTAAGATTGCGAGGGAGAGGGAGGTGATTGAGCGATCCTGAAGAGAGAAACAGCAGAGTGATTGAATATTAGATGAGGTAGGATTTAATTTTGAGATTATGGACAGATTCGGTTAATATCATGGATTCGGAGCTCATAACTTTGGTAATATATTATTCATTGTTCCTCTGAAGCTTTAGATATTCTCTAATCAACACCCTTTCCAAGTGGGGCTCAATACATCATGTGTTTGGGTTTTGATGGACCATGGTGTATGTAAGGTCTGCTAGATCAGGGATATGGGACTGCCGACTAATTCTACATCATCTCTGTGCCACGATTAGATCATCATGTATCGATTGCTACCTATCTTGCATACTATTATCTTATCTGCAATATCAATCAAGCTACATAGAGTAATGTACCCAAGCACACAAGCAGTTTGAACACCCTAATTGCGTAACATTGTAACGATTACCACATTGCGTTAGATCCATTGTATTGATTCATCCCCTCAGGCTCTCTAAAATACTTGACCGTACGAAGAAGAACTCCGATATACACTAGGACTCAGAGCAATAAACACAAATTCATCCTTCTCGTATTCCAAAGCAAGTTGGAAAATGAAAGCGTCAAGCGCTGTATTGGTAATCTTGTAGGCCGGCGCGGGTATAGTCTATACAGGGCGAGCATATGCAATGGAGGCTACTGTGCTCGTACTTGTTCTTGTTAGGACTGAGCCTGGTTTTCTTGAGGTAGACGAGGTTCTTGGTGAAACTTTCTGTGAGATTTTCTCTGCGTGAGTTAGGATGACATGGTGATGTCTAAAATTGTGTTGCAAAGTGACGCGAAGATGATTTAGGAAGTTAAATGGAGAGTTTGGAATTCATTGCATATTTATGAACATCCTGGCGGTAGTTGAATATTGGTAAGATCTTTCGCACTGTTGAATGAACAATCAGTTCCATAATTTTCCCTCAATTGATTTAAAATCATTCATGCAAGGGTTTCAACATAGGAGGATTCAGATGAACATCTAGACGATAGCAATGTGGCAATGTGGATCCTTCTACCATCTAGCCTCTATTTCATTGCATGCTAAAATAGATGTGCGACTTTTCCAATTCCATTGTTATTAGCACAACGGGTTTCAGGATCGCCAAGAACTCAATCCCGTTCGCTTAATCATGTCATTGGATGATAGTTTAGGGGAAGATTTGTAACATCGTTTCGTAGATAGTTAGTTCTCGTTTTCGATTCAAATTGCCATCCACAGGCAGGTCATCAAAGATCGTCTAATCCAAAGCTTAAAAAAGGTAGAGGTATCGGCAGGCTTGGAAAATAGTCAGTGTTAGTAAAGAAAAAGATGCATTTTCTCAGACAGCAAGGATAGTACGTTCGCTAAGACCTGTGTGGGAGATGAAATTGACTCCGAATCTAGAGATTCTGAATGAGATGTCTCTTTCGGATGAGTTGGGGGAGTTTATTGATAGTAGTAGTGATTGGCTTTTGGATTTTTTTCTTTCTCCGAAATTTTGAATTGGCATTTCTGGGACGGCGAGAAGGTAATGATTTCTATGACTACCTAGAGATGTATTTTCTTGTTTCATTTTTTCCAATGGGAAAGAATCACGACGGGAGCCGAAACCTAGCCTGTTAGGTGAAATCTACCATTCATCAACCTTCTCGAAATTCATACATGTCATCTGATCTCTCCTCATCGAATAAGCAGTCAACGTAAAGAATGTGCAGCATCATACTAGGTGTTGTTTCAAATGAAGCTTCTCGTGCCACCACATTAAAACAAATTTCATGTGTAGGCGCAACGTACTTTTACGCGGCGTGACATGTCATTTGGGACACTTTCTCTTCCAGAGGAGGCAGGAGGTGTTGAATCGCCAGACTATGGATTTTTATTCATGGATCAATCAAGCGTAACTGTGTGTTAAATAAAATCCATGTCGTTCCAAATCATAACATATCCCGCAATTCTGGGTAACATGAAGGATATAGAGTTTTCCAAGGCTGACTCGTTTTGTCTGGGTAACTTTTGCATCCCGGATATCATCGTCCAGAGTGTCATGTTCCAGGGATATCGAGCCACAATTAACAGTGAGTGGGCATTTTTAACGAAGCCCAATCCAAGCTTTGTGTAAGTAACAGTATAATCCGTCTCGGCACTTCTGCCAAATACCATCTGATAGGACTGTGCCGCATTGCTAGTGGCTATATTCGGCTAATCATTAGAGCGATGGCATCATTTCATTCACTGTGCCATCTCCACACTGCATATCGACTGTCCCGAGGTGTACATGGATCAATCTCCGTTCGTTTAGTTGTCTATTCACATACCTAGGTAGTCTTCCTATTGACTACGAAATGTTTCCATAATTCAACAAACGCCTCCCCCAAAGAATCTCACAAAACTCAAATACCAGCATAACGCATCACTAAAAACACAACCATGACTTCCCGCCCCCGAAGAATCGATACCCTCCCACCCATTACAAAACGAGAACGTGACATGCAAGTTCTCTGTTTGGGACTCTCTCGTACTTCCACAATGTGTTCGTCTTACAATCACCATATCTATAATTTACAAATCTAACAATCTCCAGCACTCCAAGAAGCGCTCAATAAGTTAGGCTACAAACCCTATCAATGTCGAGTTGCGGCACCCGCAGAGGGACACATTCCTTCATGACTCGAAGGATTCGATGCCAAGTTGAATGGAAACGGAAAATCTTTTGGTCGCGAGGAGTTTGATAAGATTATTACTAGATTTAGCGTACGTTATATTCTGAGAAATGTCTCGTGTTCTGATGCATACTAAAGCAATCACCGGGCTACCACAAACATGCCCGCTGTGAATTTCTCAGAAGAACTTCTCATCGCGTACCCTAATGCGAAAGTCATCTTGACAACCAGAGATCCAGATAAATGGATCGTATCGGTCGAGAGATCAATGTATGCGATTATAAATTCGCGTACCTGGTCCATTCTCAAGATCACCTTGGCCGTATGTAAATACTTAGCTTTTGCAAACATGGAGCAAGAATGTAATGACTTTCACTAACCTATCATCTTATAATGGGAAGCTCTCCCATTCCGTCAACTCCTTCTCGACGCACTCACAGAATGATCCAATGGCAACCCAGAAGATCGCTCTGCCCTCCATGCAGGATTAATCGCTCATAACGAAAAGATCCGAAAACTTGCTCGGGGAAGGCTTCTTGAGTTCTCGCCAAAAGATGGTTAGGAGCCTCTATGTGCATTTTTGGATAAGTCTGTTCCGAAGACACTATATCCTTATGTGAATGCGGAGGTAATACATATAGGTTATTTGTTATATCTATGGTGCTTTACTTTTTTATTAGGTGGGCTAAGTGGATCGGTGCCGTAATTGTGGCATTGTTGACTTACAAATTTTTGAAGTACTGGAATATTGCGGTCTTTTAGTATCACGGTTATGCAATGAGAGATATGTGGTGATACTCTTAGCATGAAGATTTATTTTGTTTATTCTGAATAGGTTGCATAGCTAACTCGGCTGCGATATCCTCATTCCACAACGACTCGATCTTACCATCGAGAACATTGGACGAGAGTGCGATACCAAAATCACCGCTCACTTCTCGAGCTTGAAATAGCATACTCGATTTCGCTTTCGCTTGGGGTGAAATATAGTGATAGGATCCATCCTTGTCTCCTTAAAACCCACAAATATCATCATCCTCGCAACCCCCAAGATTCTCCAGTGCCCAAATTGAAAATCCCATAATACCCATAACTCAAGGATAAATATACGGACTCAGTAAACCTATACACAAAACTTCCAATCTTATTTCCACGATACAACACGCCACCAAAAAGACACAAAAAGATGTTGCAATTCCTTCTTCAACACCAACAAAAATACTCAAAACTAAATGATTATAACCATCACCGATAAAAACCATTTGAACGTAAGATTACATATAGAATCTTCAAGACAGTAGAATAATCAACTTTCGTAACCAAACTAGACCAATGATAAAGATGTACTCGCTATCATTCCTTCATCGGTTAAGTATTGAAATGACACATCATACCTACCTACCCATTTATTCCAAGTCCTTACAGAAGAACAACCAAACCAACTCCTTCAATTGATAAATGCTAAGAAGATCCTCTTAATGTAAGCAGCAGTTCTTAATCTGATATCCTACTAGCTTTTGCGCTAAGTATAAGAAAGCTCGGTAGATATATCCACACGAGCTGGTATGTTCTCTAGAACAGACTCATCACTAGTGCAGGTAAATAGATATGGGATACCAACCCGAGTCCTTTAATTAATATTTGAAGTCCCACATTTAGATACTACTTAGTTTTCTCCGCGCCATTCAGGATCCGGATACTTTCATGCGGTAAACACTCAACACAACGATAATCTCCACGTTGAAGAAACTTAAAAAGCTCTGTTCAAATCGCAATTTGTATTATTCTACACCTGCTGAGTTAGGAGAGCAAAGATGACAAAGTCACTTCTTCACTATCATCCACTCCAAATCACCCCTCCCAAAAATTCCCTCTCTTTATCCCCAAAAATTCCAAGCAATCCCTCCACATTATTCACAACCCCTATCCCGCAGCCCTAACCAACTCCCCAAACCTACTCCTCTCCTCTCGCGCCAGCACCTCCGGATTCCCCACCTCCACCACCACCCCCCGATCCATCACAACCACCCTCCATAATCCATCACCATCTCCAACCGATGACTAACCGCCACCACCGTATACCCCTCAAACTCCTCTCTAATAACCCCCGCCATGACCCTCTCCGTCTGCAGATCCACACTCGAGCTCACCTCATCTAGTAACAAAATCCCCTTATCACATCCCCCTCCTCCAATCCCCAAATTCCTTGCACGAATCCTCCTCCGCAGAAGCGCGCGTCCAAGCGAAAAAAGTTGCCGCTGTCCCGCGCTAAGAGTCGACGCATTCATACCCGCATACAAACCACCGCGTTCTTGGATAAAGGACCAGAGATCTACGGTTTCGAGCACGGCGCGACATTCCGTGGGGGTGGAGATGTGGGAGGGATCGAGATTGGTTTGGAATGTGGTGCCGTCGGGGAGGAAGACTGCTTCTTGGGGAACGGCAATGATGCGCTGACGGAGAGAGTCTCGGTTGATGCAGCGAAGTGGTATGTTGTCGATGATTGCGTTTGCGGCAGTTTCTTCAGTGGGATCGAGGAGTTTGAGGAGGAGCGCAATCAGACTGGATTTTCCGCTGCCGGTACGACCACAAATCGCAATTTTCTCGCCGGATGCGATGGTGAGATTGATGTCACGAAGGGCTAAGCTAGGTGTGCTATCGGTTGTATCTTCCACACTGTTGAAGATATTAGCTTTACTCAATAATAGACACTGCGTCCGTTAAAATTCTCATCTCTTACTCGTAACCTGCAGATATACCCTTCAATTCAACCACACCACTATGAGGCCATTGTTCGTGGGGAACAATATTCTCTTCATCCTTATCCTCTGGCTTAACATTCTCATTAAACATCTTCAGTCGAGCGATTGCTCCAATGGAAGTTTCCAGCTTAGTATAATAAGTGACAATCCCCGAAAGATTCTCTCCGAAACTAATAAGTGTATACAAAGAAGCACCGGCAAAACCAGAATCGGAGTGAAGTCGAACGGCAAGTGTTGTCACAACTACTGCCATTGCCATGACTACGAGATCAAGAACGAGGTTGAGCCATTCTTGAATCATGAGCAGGAAATAGGCGGGTCGTTGACTAGCGTTGATCAGACGAGCATTCTTTTGAACATCAGCGGAAACAAAACCTGTTTAGTTCAAGCGTTAGCAACAATCACTTTCCTTAGCATAGAATATTGCAAAACCATTCAAAATACAATTTTGTCTCATGAGTTTAGACGCTACTCACCAAAAGCTCTCAGTGTTGCAATACCCCTAAGAGTATCAAGGAAATGCGTGCTAAACAACCACAAATTAGCATGAGCATAACAACCTATCAAGCAATGATATTCTGGCGCTAAACCTACTACAAAGGACTTTTTGCCTCAAGATCCAGCAATCTGAGCTGCCGAGACGTTCGCAGGTAAAATCGCTGCACGACATAAAGTAAAGCGCCAAGAAGCGGGTAGCTTATAGCCAAGTACACAGACGAAGTAAGCATAACGGCCATCTGTCCGACTGCTTGAAACACCTAAGACATTCGCGTTAGGCTACAGCTCAAAATGAATTCATTTCATTCCGAGGGTTTTGACGAGGTCAAGATACATGAAAAACTCACACAAAACAAAGTGTTCAGCGTTGCATCTGGCAACTCCGTATCTATAAGATTGAGATCTTGAGAAAAGAGGTTCGTTACAACCCCGGTATCCGTCTTGGTAAAAAACCGCAGTGGTGCTCGGATAAGTGTTCGCAAAGCATCGTGATGGAGTTTAGCACCTGCTTTTTTAACAGAAACAATGAATAGTGTGATGCCAAGAAGAAGTAATGAGATGAGACCGCTGATTTGAAGCAAAGCATATATTCCAGCGTAGTAAGCGTGAGGTTTAGAGAAAGTGTCGTCAGTCCAATAATCGAGCCCTGGGATTTGTGACATTAGTGCTATGGAGCTTTGTGGTTTGAAAAAGATTCCAATAATTTGGCTCAACATGGCAATCTGATTGAAATCTCACTATTCATGAGTAGAACCAACTTACAAATTGTAGGAAAATTAGTGAAGAAGCCCCAAAGGGCAGCAAAGAACAAACTGCAAACTGCTGAAAACCAGCCCATGCTCAAAAAGTAGTGCTTGTATACCGTCCCATCACCCATTTGACGAGATTTATCTGCTTCCGGTGCAAGCGACAAAGTTTCAGCTGTCTTCGTCGCCTCTAGCACATGTGGCTCCGATCGACGGGCACTTTCCTTCGGCGTTATATCCTCCGACGAAATCTCGCTATCAGAAGGATCTTTCAATCCTAGACGCTGAACATAACCTTGTTTTCTCATCAACTCGTTGAAACTACCTTGCTCAACAATGGTGCCTTCTCCCAGTGTGATAATGTAGTCTGCTGCTGGTAAATGTCTAATGCTATGAGTGCAAAGCACGACCGTACAGCGACGTTTTCGTAGTAGTCCATTAACACCAAAGACCTGCTGGAATACCTTCTCTTCTGTATCCGCATCTAGACCACTGAATACATCGTCTAGTACCAGTAGGTCAGACTGCAGATATAGGGCTCGTGCAAGAGAAACACGTTGCTTCTGACCTCCTGACAAAATGATTCCATCGGATCCAATATTTGTTTGATCTCCGAGTGGGAGTGTTGCTAGATCAAAGGCTAGCGAGGCAGCATTGATTACTTCAGCGTATCTCTCACTATTAAAAGGAGAAAATCCTATGATATTGTCCCTAACCGTCCCGTTATAGAGAAAAGCTGCTTGTTCGCAGAATCCGACGTGGGGAAATCTAGTGCTCAAAGACACATTACCTTCGCTGAAAGGAATTTCTCCAAGTAGTGCCTTGCAGAGTGTGGATTTTCCAGACCCAATAGGTCCAACAACAACAGTGAGCGAGGATTTTGGTACTTTAAAATTCATGTCTCGTAAAACGAAAGTATCTTCTTCCCAGCCAAACTTTCCATTTTGGATGACAATAGGAGGCGCAAAGTCTAGTTCCGAGTCCAGAGAGGCTACGATATCAGTTCTAGTCTTCTCTGCGTCTAGCTTTCTATCAGCCAGTACTTTGCGGAAATCATGACGATTCTCGCACTCCAAAAAGGCCTGAATACGCCCGAGACAGGCTAGCCCAGAGATAAGCTCCGGAGTAGACTGGAATATTTGAGATAGCGGAACAGTGAGAAGCGTTAGAAAAGAAAGACTCGTAAAGACCTTCGAAGCATCCAGTGTTTTCGAAGTAAATGCGAAGGTTAGCGGTGGACCAATCAGCAACGGAATAAAGCCAAACAGCGCCGCAATGATGAATATTTTGCGAAATCGTGCTCCGGCCGCAAGTTCCTCAACTCGAAGTTTCTGTACAAAGTCACTGACGGTGGCAGAGAGTCCCGATATCTTCAAGTTCTTCATGCTGGCGATGACTGTAGCCGTTAAACCTACACGCTTCTGGACCCCCGACATCCAAGTCCTCTGCGAATCTCCAGCAAAATTCATTAGGATTGCCAAGCCGAGAAAGCAAACTATAACAAGTCCCATTGGCGCAATGAACACAAGACCAAGTCGAGTGTATAACATCCACCCTGCAATTGCGGCCTGGATAATACTGGCCCAAACTTCGTGCAGATTTCTCATACCCATCTTGATTCGCTCTATATCAGTGCTCATCAAAGTGAGGGCAGCGCTATCATCACCAGCTCCAATACGAGCTTTTGTAACATTAATATAAGTTTCTGTGGCCAGTATTGATCTTGCCATAGTCCGCGTTCGATGGTGAAGGTACCTATAAATATGTTTTAGTGATCGATGTCGTAGATTCTTGACCCGTGCTTTGCAACATACCAATAGAAGGCCCTTGAGATAGCAATTCCAGAGTAGATGAATACGCTGGCGCCAATGAATCCATACCCAACGTTCGCATCAATTTCAGGCTGGGCCAAAGTATCCAGCAGCCTTTCGATAAAAAGAGGTTGACAAAACGTGAAAGCAATAAGTGCTAGGCGTAACGGTATAGGAAGCAGAAGAGGGACTTTCAACGTGCGCATGAGCACCTTTAAAAGACCAAATTTATCGCCTTTCAGTTTGGAATAATCCATATTTTTAGAGAACCCATCGTGCAGTGATTTCGCATCAAAAGAGCTATCTAAGGGATAAAGATCTTCAATAGCTAAAACCTTGTTATATCCCATCAAGAACATCTTATTGAGCCAGAAGAAGACACCGAGCGAGAATATACCACTCGTCTCTTCCGGACTATGCTCTTTCTCATTCCAGCTTACCCACTTGGACTTTTGCCGTGATTCCAAGAGCAGGATTACACATTTGAGAGCCAGAGCGGTTATGAAAATACTGCTGTAAACAAGCCCGGACGTGTTGTCCGATGACAGGAATAGTGTTCTTGCTTGAGCCGCATCCAACAGAAGAGTAAAGAATAAGTAACTATTCAGCACTACCGACGGCCTCGGACTTCTGCTATGATCAATGATACTTAAGGGTATCATGCACAAGCCTGCTACCAACTTGAGAGCCGACGCCGCTACAAACATGCTGGATACATGCAAAGATGCAACCGCAGCCAAAATCAGAAGTGAGAGTTCCAGAGCGGCATATGTCACAATAGCACCCTGCGAAAGTACAATCAGCACTTGACTATCAATCCTCCATTTTTTCGAGCTCAAATTAAAATAAAACATACCACTTTGACAAGTTGAAACCCCGGCGCATTCACAACCATAGGCTTCCGAGCCTGAGAAACCATTCGCCAACATGCTATCATGATGAACAAAGCAGAGGGTATAATGGAGAAGAACAACTGCTCAAACTGTATGCTGAAGTCAAACTCCCCCTGATTCATCTGGAGTAGATTCTCCCCTCCATTGAAGAAAGGCATTTTGCATGCCTAAAATCCTGACTACCTCAATCCGAATCGATCTTGCCGTCGAGGCAAGCAATATCCAGTTTTATTTCAGGATGTTGGAAAATTATTGGCGTTGCTGTAATCAGATCTCAGGCAGGCCAAATTGATAAAACAAGCAAGCACAAGAGTCCATAGGGCTAGCTATTTATATAGAGCTTTTTAAATTGGAGTAGAAGAGACGGCATCACGGAGGCTCGGAGGATGACACGCAAGTCTGTGCTCCATAAGCCTATCTACTTGTTGGGGGTTAGCGAGTTCTGTTAATCCCTGGCGATGACAATGACCGAATTAGGAAGGTCGCTATGTGACGATAGCCTGGGATACCTTAAAGTGGAGGGTATTGATCAAAGAATACGCAGAATCAAACCAACCATTGTGCAAGATCAAATACATCTCAGTAATCCCAACAAGATACATGAGCATCAGCACTAGCTAGCTTGTCTTTCAATCGTACGATAGCTCCCTCTAAATGATGGTGAATGGAGTCACTCAATAGCCATGAAAACTTCATAGCTTGTTATCAACAATATTTCATATTTGCATTCGCATGCCTGTTTTACGTCAAGAGTAATTAATGAAAAGAGTACAAAACCCCTGGGAACTCCAGCCCAATCCCCCCATTATCAACATGTGAGAGCTAAGACGTGATATGCATGTCCATTTTATCATCAACCTCATTAATTTTTCTCTCCATGAGAGACCCCTCATATCCCTTCTCTCACTGTTCTACTTCTCGAATCCGCCCCTATTACCCACCACCACAACCACTAAACTCGTCACCATCAACGCGCCTGTAATCATCGCCACAAGTGCAATACTGCCCCTACTAGCTGGGAACTTTCCTCTAATAATGTAAAACTGCCCTTCAAAATATCGATGAAAACCTACTGAGAGCATGAGAATCGATATTCCCACGAAAGTGGCGCCTAGGGGTTTGCCGAGATGGCGGAGACTGCTTTGAGGCTCTGATGGGGCGGGGGTAGTGGAGCTTGAAGTATTGAGGCGGAATCTAGGGAGGAAGAAGGTTAGTGGGGAGTGAGAAGGCGGGGGAGGGAAAGAGACGTACAGTTGAGTGATTGCAATTCCGATACTAGCGAAGGCGAGGGAAGTTCGTAGCCAAGCTAAAAATGTTCTTTCTATCCACCCCCCATAGTCAGCAACATAGTAAAATAACACATGTCCATCCTCAGACGTGTGACAAACGAGTCGTGTGATCTGAAATTTAGCGAGAGAAAGAAACCACAAACCAAGTGCCAAATGATCCCTCGCAACACTCCCCTTATTTTCCAACTCGATACTTCCATACTCATCCATCATTCTCTTCCACCATTTTCCTATCCTCCCGCTTCGCTTCATCCTACTCTCATCTTCAGTAATTACCCCCTCAGCCTCGGCCCCTGAAAATCCTCTCCCTCTTCCCGTTCCCCATACCCCTCCTCTCTTATTTGGATCCTTTGCTCCAAGTTTCCTCCTCGTGCTGTTATTTCCATTATTTGTATCTGCAGTGATCGCTGTAGTTCCGCCACTGACGCCTCCATAGTTCATATCGGGACCGCGTCTCAATACACTCGTTTCTTCATCTGCGCTACTTTCCCCTCTGCTTTCTTTACCATTTGTATGTCCATGTCCATTCTCATTCTCATTCTCATATCCATTCACTCCCCTCCCAGGACTCTGACTCTCCTCCCCATCTCCAGGGGTATCCATTGTAATCTTCCTATTCCTCGCCTCTTCCAGAATGCTATCAATCCTCTGTCTCTTTCCCTCTTTAATTCTCTGGCTCCCTTGAGCACTAACACTCCCACTCCTGCTTCCACTCCTACTACCCGTCTGCGGACTCGGACTCTGTCCTTGGTGTATATTCGAGCTCGATCCAATCTCAATGTTCGCCTTCGGAGTATTCGGTCTCAATTGTAATGTCTCTGTCGAGCGTGCATTCTCATTCGTACCCATTCGTATCCTATTCAAATCCGTCTGCGAACTCGAATTCGTCGTACTTATATTCAACGAAACCTGCGACTGCGAATTTATCCTCCCCTCGATCCCATCCGGTCTCTTTGTACTCTCCATTGTAGCCCCAACACAACGTCCCTGGCACCTACTATCCTATCCTATCCCAGCACGCACACTATACTATCCCACCGCGCAATTTCTCCGCTCGCAGATAGATCTAGCCGCAGCTTCTTGATCAACCAATTACCGCAATCGCTATCGTGCAACCCGAGTGCGATTGTCCAATCAATTGATCAATCGATGCAACCTGGTACAAAGCAAAGCCGCCTCTTCCCTACCTCTCGCACTGCGTCTTGCAGCCAAACTCGGAGACGAAACCTTGGAACAAAAGAATCTCAGCGCACGTATATCTCTCGGCGAATTGCGTGCTTCCCTCTCACTCTCCTCTTTTAATCTCGATGATAAACCTATCTATGTAACCACCATTAATCCAAAGCAAAGATCGAAAACCAAGCAGAAACGAAAGTCTCTGGAACAAATGCTAAGAGCTCTTTCAGCTCTTGCAGCTTTTAAATAACTAGTTTTATGCCGAGGGCGGAGAACATTTAAAAGGAATCTAGCCTAGAAGTCGGTGGTGTGGGGTCCCGGGTTTCTTTGCTGTAGTCTTTGCTATAGGGTGATAATTAAGCATAAGGTTAACCTTCAACTCCCCAGCAGTAATAAATCTCCTTACAAAGAGCCAAAGCTGCTGCCACAGTATTTTGGTACTTAGGTAATCAAATGGACGAAGATGTTATAGCATTTTGTTCAACAGAGAAACCATTCTTCCACCTATAATATCATAGAAGGGATTTCATAAAACTACTACCAGATGGCTGAATCATATGTCAAAAGAAGTACCTACTAGGTAGTTAGGTATCGAAAAAAGGGGAATCTCAGGCATTTGATCGATCAGTAACGGCAGGGCTGGCAGGGCTCAATGCATCTACCGGCATTGCTGATCCAAACATCAACAATAATCTACAGGTTAACGACATCGATCGAAGATAAGACCATCATTCACGTTTATATTCACACTCACAGGTTCAGAAAGATAGTCATGTATGAACATCATCTGGAAAGAAAAGTGAAGAAATTTGTAAGAAACCAAAAGAGATTTCAATCTGTATACACGAAAAAGGCCACACACTTCATCTGAATGTTCTATTTACTTGTTTTTTTTAAAATAATTTTTCTGTTCTCAAAAATTTCTCAACATCTTTCTTGAAAAGGTAGAATAAGTAGAGTGCAACTGATCTCCCTTTCCCTGTCTGTGTTGTGCCGACTAGACTACTTTATGTTGATACATGTACCATATTCTGCAGCCTCTGCCGTCAAATTTTCCATTCACATCCACATGAAACAGGTGTTATAGCTCTCTACCACATCTCCTTGAAGAGAGATATGGTGGTAATTTCTGTTTCGTATGCACGCTCCGTCCAAACATTTGTAGCCAGTATGAAAACATATGCAAGAGTGCCTGCGGCAAATTGATAAAAAGGCCGTAGGGATAGAGGGGCACTCTGTACCAGGAGCACGTCTCCTTCAAAATGCGTAACGGATACATAGAAGAGTTAACCAAGGTGATTGCTTCAAGGAAAGAGGGCTTTCCCATTCGTCATATGAACATTCATCTGCTGAGAACACAACTTTTTTTTCTACCAACAACCCCAACCCCCTCAAGAAATCCATCCATGCTTACAACAACCATCTGGAACGTGGTATTCCAACGGCCAGATATCTTCCACTCCAATAATGTAAAAACATTAGCGACATTTATTACAAAGGAAAAGTTACCACACGAAGTACATTCAAAGATCGGATGGAGGGGGTATCTTATTGACAAATTTGTGTGAACATTGCAAGTCGAGCGTGAGTTCGAACATCCGAGACTTAGAATGACTTGAGGGCGTGTAAAGAAAAGAAAAAGTGACTACAACGATCATAAGCCGCAATTGTGGATATGCGCGCGGAAAGAAAACAACAATATGTGCACCGGAAATTTTGTAAAGGGAAAATTGAGAAACTCAACCGCCTATGATGAGAAGACGTATGTAGCGGTTCCGCCCGAGAGAATAGAGACCTAAAGAATTTGTTAGTTTATGACCCCACACCTTACAAATAGATCAATGAACTTACGGTGCAACCTGTTGAGGACTCAACACCATTGTTGTAGTATGTTCCAGATGAGTACGAACATTTTCCGGAGACATCACCTTCGATGGTGATGGTGAAGTTCAAGGTGCCGTATGTGTTGGTTGGGGTGTTGGGGATGATTGACAACCAAGTGGTACCAGAGGCATCTCTTCCAACACCGGCATTGACAGGAGCCCAGTTACCAAGGTTTCCACCCGAAGTACCCCAAACACAAGCTTCAGAGGTAGAAGCTCCTTGTGGGTTAATGTAGTATTGTGCGGAAGTTGGAAGTCCTTCCCATGAGTAGTAGCTACTGGCATCTGGGCAAGTCAAGTCATAGGTTTGGCCAGGGGAGGTTGCCAATGGAACGGTCTCAGCTTCGAGACCAGGGTAATCAGTACGGCAAACAGCAACAACGCTGTCGAGCTTGTTCTCAACCTTGACGGATCCAGATCCAGCAATGCAAAGTTGCTTGGTGGTAGTTCGGGACAACTCGAGCATGCCGTTGGAGTTGCAGTAAAGACCACCGATGGATTCACCAGTACTTCCTTGTGCGGTAGGCCATTGAGATTTCTGGTATCCCGCTGGGCAGGCATACGAGCAGAAAGCGCCCTTCACACATCCACCGCTGGTAAGCGTGTTAATAGTAACAATCGAGGAAGCAGAGGTGGTGTAACCAGGGGTGCTTTGGATACCGATCCATCCATCTAACCCAAGGTAATCGACAGCAACTGGGCCATACTTGGATGGGAAAGTGGAACAAGGGATTGTGCCACTTGGAAAGTCGTCCCAGCTGCCGGAACTGCTAGAGGAAGTGGAGCTGTCAGAAGAACTGTAGCTACTGGCCGAGGAAGAGGCAGCAGCAGCACTGGTAGAGGTCACAGAGGCGATAGAGCTTGATTCTGAAGTGGATGATGCAGCGCTTGATTTCGAGGTGTATGCGGCCTTGGTAGAAGAGGAAGATGAGGAAACCTCAATGAACTCCGCGGCAGCCTTGATGATCGAACTGGCGGAAGTAGCTGCTGGAGTGGTTGAAGCAGCAGCTGATGTGGACGCAACCGATGGGGATCCAGTGTACCAGTTAGTAGCAGAAGGGGCATCTTCGACAGCATCTCCAACTAAAATGTATTTTCCAGATTTCAATCCGTCTTGAACTTCGGCCAAGGAGATATCTTTTCCATTGAGCATGTAGACCGTCTCGACTGGACCTGGCATAACCTCTGTCACAGAGACGACAGTGTTATCGCGTGCGACCTTGTTTGCTCTAGCTGGGTGACGGTGTTGATGGTTGTGTGGTTGCGCAATTGCAACACCGGCAACGCTGAGAAGCGCAACAGAAACTGGGGTGAACTTCATTGTGAAGAAGTGAACTCTTGCGATATGGATAGACGAAAGGTTTCTTGGTTCGGAAGTTCCAAGGCTCTTGATATATCGACTGAATTGGACGGAGTAAACGAGTGAGGTTGACTTCAAAGTAGAAGAGAAGATGTTAGCATTCCGAACTCAGACGCGACGAATTGACTATTCTAAATTGAAAGGCGAGACGAAGTTGAACAGTAATGGCAATGGCAATAGACGAGCGAGTAGACAGGGAAATGAGATTTAAATGGAGAATGGCGGGACGGTGAATAAATAAAAACACGAGAACTCGCAGTACATACCTTGGCTATGGGTCTTTCTGACTTAATTTGAAAGATTCACTCTAAATGAAAGGTCTGTTGCTAGGGGATGGAGAATAATTTGTAAGGGGGAGAGATGAACAAATTAAGTGTTGATGTAAAGAAGCGTCGCTTGGGGGAGTGGAAGGGATTGAAAAGGATAATTGAGGTTGAGTATTTCGAATCGATTTGTTAATTGAATTTTGCAGGAAGAGAGAAGTTTTTTGGTTGAGATAAAAGTCGCTGTTCCAAATGAATGTGGTAGAGAGTTGTTGATTATTATTTTTTTGTATGATAACAACTCTCAGTTGGGAGGGAATGCTTTGAGAGGGGAAAAAGAGGGTTGATGAGGTCTGAAGGAGTGAGGTGTTAAAGGGAGAAGTATCACGAATAAGATGAGAAGTCTGTTCCAAGGCAATCGCAGAATAGCACGGAGTATAAGAAAACAGAGGAGGACCAGGAGATGGACGTGGGTGGCCAAGGGGACGAAAGCAAGAAGGGGTGAACAAGGGTACCAGACCACTCAGAGCCAAGCATTGAAATTAGATCCAGGTACCAAACAATTAAATGAACCAATGAAAAGGTTGAGAATAGAAGACGCTAAGGGAAATATCCTAGCTTGGGCCGATTGTTATCCCTGCTGCCCCTGTCACCTTGTCGGTGCTAGCGCTGGGTCTAACCATCTATGGTAACATATAATATAAGAGATGAACTCCAAAACATTGAGATTCATTTTGATTTCGGGATTTGCAGCATGGGGGGCAATGGAAGATATTGGGTCTGCCCAGGTGATAATTGATAATTTTGGCTCTTTCGTATTGCGCTTCCTCCCAAATACTTTTTATACTTTGATTACCGTCTGTGATAGGGTCATCGATCGTGCCGATGGAGGTCAAATCTTAAGATTCTTTATTTTTTTTTCCTATAGATGATGAATTTAGAGGCTTGGCTGGACGGGCAAGAGATATTGATGGGGTGGAAGTAGGGATAGAGATGGGAGATGGGAGAGATGGTCTTGTTGTCTGACTGTTGACTGTTGACTGTTGACTGTTGTCTAGAGTCTGGACAGTGTCGATGGACTCGGATGGAGATTTGAGTGAAGAAGCAGCGAATATTGGTGGGGGGAAGTTAAGATAGAAGATGGGTACAGTACCTAGGGAGGTATACTGACTTTCAAGTGACTGCACATAGTACTACTACTACTACTACGACTACCTATTACTGTAGGTAGGTGGTATGCTTACTGTACACACGACGTATTACTATACATAGGTATACTTATTATTATAGTATACTTACTGTACACCACACCACCCCCCAAAAAGGTCTTTCAATTAGGAGTCAGGTGAAATAAGGTGTACCAAAAGAATCAATGATATCCTCTGACAAATTTTAAAACCCCGTCTAACCATTCTATATTCGTGGCTATGATAATATATTTCCATTCTTCAAGCTTTTAAGCTTGATATTTGGAATCTTGATTAATACAGATAACACGGGAGGTGTGATAGGCACAAAGTAGCTACTAATAACTGAAGTGAAGTGTCAATTGTCGTTGCCGTTGAATAGCTCAGATCCCTCTATGACTAAGATACATCCTTGGGATGAATAATAAAATCGGATGTCAAATTATATCTACAGTATTATCTATCGTCCATCTATCATCTATATTACCCGTACTTAGCTACTGATCCTACGGATGTATACATTCTTTGTCAGACCTTGCCATCGGACCATCCATTCTCCAATTTTCCAATTCCCCAATTCATCTCTCCATAAATCAAACAATCCATTTGCCCTTCATCCCATTAACAACGCCCATTAACAACGCCCATTAACAACACCCATTAACAACACCCATTTCCATCCTTACAACGTACAACTCACCCTACCACTACCAAGTATCATCCCATACTCACTGCAATAAATAAAATCCCATCTTCCAAGAGAATTCCGTGCCTTTACACCGAAACATCTCCACTTCATTGAACCAGAAGGAAACATTTCTACATCCGGTCTGTGCTTCCAAACCTCTAATTTCGGCTACGCCACTGGATGTTAGATGAAGAGCACGTAACCAAATAACCTCCAGCAATAAAATATCTCCAACAACTCCACTGATTCTTCCCATTTCTGGAGTAGAGCCCTAGAGACCTGGAAAAGCTTGGAGAAGATGGTCGGAGATCTTTCAATATTCGGTCTCGGGATATTGTCCAACCCTAGAAGTTAGAACAGAGTCCCGTGCCCTAGTTTCATCTTACCCAAGGCCAATTCCTCAATAGGTATCAGGGAGGCACTTCAGGGAGTGCGAGCGAGAATTTGATCAAGTTTTACCGCTGAGCGTGTGAGCGAGGGAGGGACACAGTAGGTTCAGCTTGTCGTTCATCTTCATCCATGCGAGATTCTATCGTTTCGTCCCAAGGTACGTTTTCGAATGCTGGATTCCCTAGGAGGTGGTGGAATCGAGACCGTTCACAAACTCAGGGGTATCGTTTCAACATCCTATCTAAGGTTCTAAACGGCTGGCTGGGCTGGAGAGGGACCTCATGATTTTGACAAGTCTCCTATTCACGCTTGATGGGTCAAGATAACAATCACGATAGATAATTTTCCCATGTCGTGATCTATGATCTGGGGATTTTGGAGTTATTGATTTCAGTCGTGGTTCATGACGAGTCTCAAATTTTAATCTCACAACAGCATGGTAATGGTTTGTTTTCATAGTGGGGTAACAGCATGATGAATCCATGATAAATCCATGATCATGCTGTTTCTATCATGGACCACATGGCAGCGAGAAATTTGGGGTCCAGTGGTGACAGCTTGGGAATGCGTGGTAGGTAGAATTGTTGAAAGGCTGACGAGGAAGATGCCCTCGTGAATTCCGATATTCATCCTTTTTCGTGCCACAGTCAGAATCCAGATGATCCAGCTTCAACTGCCACAGATGTCCTACAGCAGGATTCTCCAGTTACACTTTATCAATCATGGATACTAGGATGGATACCAGGTAATGCTCACACGGTAGAATCATACTTGTGGAGAAGCATGACTACCATTCGATTCAACCCTCGTTGTTCCTTGCTTTAAGGTTACTCAGCCATTGAAGTACACGAAGTCAGGATATTTCCACGTTGCCATCACAACTTTCAACTGTCTTCACCCGCCTGATGATCCAACGTGGGCCAGCTAAACAGATACGAATGCAGTAACTCTAAATATATCTCACCACAAACCCCAAGAAGTTAAGAACATCCAGACCAAATCAATTCAAAATCAGATCGGCAACAACCCAATCTCAATCGCTCGTATGAGTCGTATCCTCATATATCATTTCCTTCATCTCATTCATTCATAATAAATCTCAACCTCTAAGACCGCGCATTACTCTAATGATCAATCACTGGCTCTGGTTTTAAAAGAAAACCGGCGCAAAACGATACGATAGAATCGACCTAATAGAGATACGGGCTGAGCCATCCATCTCCTTTATGCCGTGAACAAACTGTTTCCACCGCCGCTCCTTGGCATACTTTACCCCTGACTAAATCAAGGTACCGCATTGCCATTCGGCACCTTTATTTATCCTACTGGTTCTACCTATCCATCCTATTCGTTCTGCCTATTCATCCTTGCATTGTCTGTATAAAGTTTATGCTACTACAACAGAGTAGTACACTTGCGAGGTATCTACAGGATCATGCTTCGAAACAAGCAATAATTACCTATGAAGTCATAGTCGTCGATAAGTTTGATGTAAGGAACAGATTCAGCCTCAACTTAATTAATGAGTCGCTTCATTGTTTGGGCTTCAAAAAAAATAAAAAGAATTCAAATATTTCAAACATCGGATATGACGGCCCAATAGCTGGAGGTTGTGCATATCCGATCGGCCCGCTCACGTGTTCACTTTCCTTCCTAAACGATGCGGCACTCTTGAGGTTCTCTTCCACCTCCCGAAAGCTTCATCATAAATTCTTCTCGTCAACAGCTAAGATAAGGATACGCAAGTGCACTGTTTTTCTTCGACTTGCCACTAGCTGTTGTAATAAGGTCTCTCGTGGGAATAGCCCAGCGGAAATACTCCAGCGAACTTACTCTGGAATACATGACGCTACAATAAGCTTGCTGCTATCAACAGTGGTCCATTCGGTACGCACCTTGCCGAAACCTACTTTATGTCATCATAATTTGTCTTACTTAGCTTGGGGGAATCTAGTGGTGTTCAAATAGTCATTCAAGCGTCACTGGATTTATACTCATCTTGGTTATACATCACGAATTTTCACCTGAGGTATGTTTGTTCAGCTGCAGGGCTCATACTGCTAGTGAAGTGTATGACAAAAACTCGGTCTAGATATAGAGCCATCATCGCCAATTTCATCCGAAATTGAGTGATTAGTCTTTTGCTATCTACATGATACACCGACTGATACTTTACTATCATTCTTAAGAGAGTAAGAAACGTGCGAGAACGTTTTGTCTTATAGATTACACATATTACTCTTGTAGAGGAGCTACGTTATCTCTTCGATGCAACTTCAACGAAAGCAAATACTTAATAAAGAGGAACTTATTCTACCAAAAGTCAAAAATAGAAAAGAACTAAAATCCAAAAGATAAGTTTCAGATTTAGATTTAGATTTGAACGAAGCGAAGTCTAATGGCTTAGCTAAACCTTGTATCTGACTCTCATGTGTATCATTCCTTTTCGATTTGTCTATTTTCTATTTTTAATTTTTAGTCTTATCAGCGATAGTTCTTCACATTAGGTATTCGTTGCTGTTGATACTCTATACTTCTCTGATTAGAGCAGGAAATATTTTCTTGCTTTTGCGCTGCATTGAATGGAACTGAATTGAATTCGAAGAAATGTGAAATGGAAAGTGTGATTATTCGACTGCATATTCTCTTCATCCTTCTACAAAACTTAATTGTGTTAGGTACATACACACTCTATCTTTATCGCAACAAAAGAAGGTACTCTTGTAGTTGTGGAAAATGCACACCCCTGATCATGGAAAGATGCTTAATCTCGGGTCGCGCGAGTATCCGATAACAGTCCACATTCCAGTAGGTATGTATCGATCTGGTTCGACATTCCCATCTTGGACGCTCGTTTGTTTATGTTATCATGTTTTTGTCTGTCTCGTGGTGGAGTCACAAACTTAAATGGATGCGCGGGTAGATTCCAGGAAGCTAGGGTTGTGAGGAGTTGATTGTTGCGGCGGTGTTTTGTTTGATATGTTGATGAGGCTGTGTGAATGATAAACTTAAATGCGTTTGGATTACAGCAATCCCGGGTTCTCGGAGTGTGGCGGTATCTCGTTCGTTACGATGGGGATGTGGTGTGTGTATGTTTGTTTGTTTGTTTGTTTGTTGTCGTTATTTACAGGTATTGTATTGTATTGTAATGCAGGGCGGAGATTTGATTTGTAGGTTTCGGTATTTGATGGGGGTGTGGCGGTCGGTAGACTGTAGTTTTAAACATGTGTGTGTGTGTGTGTGTGTGTGTGTGTGTGTGTGGTTTTTCTTCTTGTGTTGTGCTGTGCTGGGGGTTGTATATCTCACCTATCGATACGCATCACAAGGAAGAAGGCGAGATGGATAGCAGTCGACGGAGACATCATATCGTGAAGGTGGGAGTTCATGGAGCTATTACTCGAGATGAATACGGAAATCAACGAATCGGATAATAGAGAAGGAATTTGAGGAATTCTCGATCTTAAAATATAGTCAGCGCGGTATGGTTCTATACTTAATGTCGAATCGTGGGGACTCTACTTTCTGTATTGGGTAGTGGAGTTTTATTTTAGCTGTGGTGTTTGTGAATTCTGAGAGTTGCTTTTGGGTGGATGGATGGATGGATGGATATATATACGTGTATGTATGTATGATTATGAAGTCTGGGGTGTAGGATGTATAAACTCTTTCTTTCCGACTTCTGATTTCGCATCGAATCATTGAGAGGAGGCTAGCATTTTCTTCCGATGGGATGAACTTTCGCTCTTTCCATTGTTCCTCCTCGTTTCAGCCATTCTATCTCCTGAATAATTTTAAGTACTTGATATCTTAATGCCAAAACCCTCTTCAGCAATATCTTCACATCGCATCGCTGAACCCCATCCTTCATGGTTTCCACAAACGAAGATACCACATCTGCATACGGAAGTATAACGCACTAGCCATCCGTATATCTAGCTTTCTTTCTTCCATTCGCTATAGAGGGTAGAGGGAAAACGAACGTCGTCTGTAACATGACATCGTGGCCTCAGGGGAGCTGTCACGCGCCATGAGCTTGGATTTCTCATCGTGCAGATTGATACTTGGGGTGTGGAATTTCCGTCTCCGTCGTTATGAATTGCTTGTTTGGAGATAGATAAGCTGTTCCTCACATTCTGGCTCTCGAATTACTTCTCCATGTTCACAGAGGGATTCTTGTTCATTCTTGTTCTCTCTTGGGCGAAAGCAGCTGCGCTTTGAAGTGGAAGTGGAACGTGGTAAATGTGATACCTGCAGCGGGGAAATCACGGTGTGTATATTCGCTCTCTGTGGTCCAGAAGATGAAGCTCGCATTGCTGCCATCGGGTTGGGATGGGTGGAATAGGTTTGTTGTTATATGCAGCATGGTACGATAATTAAAATACGATGGGGAGGTAGTAGAGGTGGTGGTTACGTTGTCTCCTCGAGATGTAATTGGTACTCTTAGATACTTTTGTGAAATTTGCTCATGTCTATCACTAACTAATATTGAAGATGCGCATCGCATTTTGGATTTTTGTTGATGGGTGGAGAAGCTAGAAGTAGGGAGAGTGAGAGTTAGTTCGGGGGAGTAATGTCGTCTATGACTCTATTGGATTTTTTCGATGGGGAGAGGTAAGAGGGAGAGGAATAAGGCTTGCGGAGGCGGAGAAATGGAAAATGGGGAATAGCTTTTGAGTGATGAGTTGCTGATGGATTTCGAGAAGCGGAGTTGATCTAGAGAATATGAGAAGATGAGTCGGTCGATATGTATAGGTTTAGATGGATAGATTATACGGTATGGAATCTTGTGGAGAGGATGTTTGAGGGGTACGATTCACATGGTGTAAATTAGAGGTTTAGAATTCAAATACCGTGGCTACTTTCCTCGCCTGTTTTATCGCTTCCATATTTGTTGTAACTTGTAACTTATTCGTTTAATTGCAGTTGTGTCTGTCATGTTCACATAGAATCAGATATGACACGAAACATCATCGATTTCTCTAGATTGTGGATGGAATAGAATATTCGGGAATGAGTTTGTCTCTGAGAGAAGCAGTTGTGTTTTCCCTCTGAGTTTCATGTTGGCAGTCTTGTTTATCAAGATGGCTATTTGATTCCTGGGCTATTTCATTTAGGCTTTTGTATTATTTACCTCTCTTTTTGATGGAAATTGTGTTTGGCAAAATAAACCATTGAGATTTGTAAGATTTGATATGAGTTTCTCGGAAGATGAAGAGATGATGGATGGGATTGAGGAAAATGTGTGTATTTCATTCATAATCTTTTGTCTCGACTATATCTAACGAATTTATTAGGATGAAACTTATTTCCCCAGTGTCGAATGGCCCTCTCAACAGTCCACATGGCTCTCTCATTCCGAACCGTTGGTTCTTAGACCTGCTGTGTCTGGTGTTCCGGATGCTGAAGAGGTGGTCGATTGTGTGCACGGAAATGTATGTATTTCATTATTTCCTTCATAATCTTTGTCTCGTTGATTCACTGAGAGGAAAATTTTAACGTGGCTAGGACGAATCAGTATCTTCCACCGGGGATGGAGTTCAGCTTCCTGCGTGGTTTGAATGGCCTAAAGAGCTGGTGCATAGACCCGCTATGTCTGGTGTCCCGGCTGTCGAAAAGACTTCTTCACGGTTTGTGGGGGATAGTTATACTAGGCCACTTGTTATCAGACCGGCTATATCTTGTGTCCTGGAGGCTGAAGAAAGTTCTTCACGGTTTTTACAAAATAGTTATAATAGGCCGCTGGTTCTCAGACCTGCCGTGTCTGGTGTCCCTGTCGTCGAGGAGACTTCTCCACAAGTTGTACAGAAAAATCGTACCAAGTCACTTGTTCATAGACCTGCTATACTTAAAAGTCCCAGGCGGCATGATCTTGTAGAACAGGCGCGAATCATGCCACTATACTTCACACTTCCGCATCGACCTCGAGTAACTGATAAGTCTCGCGACTCAAGACGGAAACACAAAGAGGCTGTGAGGAAGTGGATAGAACGCAAGAGAGAACGTGAAAAAAGGGGGAGACAGAATGAGAGACGGAAACTCAGCGAGAGCCGAGAAAGTGATCGATATGAAAATTCACATCGCCAGATCAATCCTGCTACCATCGAACAAGAAATTCAGGACATACATGCAGATCTTCATCGCGCGGTTGGCAATGATGAACACGAAACGCTTCAAGCATGTAGTCCGCCTAGTGATGAGTGGCACAGGATCACGCCGATTTCAGAAACCAAAGTGTCGACTGATGTACTGATCTCAGTCCTTGTTGCCGAAATCATGAAAGAAAGGCAACATGTAGATGAGGTAAAGAACTTTGTTAACAAGAAGCATACCCTTGAAGAATGGCAGGACTGGGGTAAAATTGTAGTGGGGCGAATTAATGAGAAGAAAAAGAACTGGGAAAAGTATAGGGAGATGAGGAAGAAAGAAGAGTCGAGGGATCATGGAGGCCAAAAATTCGATAAATCAACGAGGCAAGGATGGGCATGGGAGCCTCTTTCAATTCAGTCGGTTTACTATTGGCTAGACAAGCTTGACAGGGCCCTTGAAGAAGCAGAGAATGGTTTCCCCAAGACTCACTGCGAATCAAAGGAAGTTGAGAAGGAAAGTGCGGAGCAAAGGGCGGCGAAGCGCGAGAAATCACAGTTTGTAAAGAGGCATGTGCGAGCCTATGTTGACTCTGACTCTGATGACCCGTCGGCTATGGAACCGGCAAAGCGCAAGCAATTACCTCTCCGTCAGAAAAAACATACAACAGTCACGCGCGTTGATTCTGGCGATGGAGATGCATTGCTTGATTGGGCCGAGTACTGAGAATTTTAAGAATGCTGATGAAGAGCGCAAGCACCGTTCATAGATGTGAGGGATACCAAGGCTTGGGGAAGAAAATCTCGAGGTCTGCTGGGAGGCATGAAGCGATATGATGAAAAGCCGAGTATCAGGTGTGAAGATAGATTCAACACTTAGAATTTCGACTAGATATGGAAACCAAAAAAATATTCAGGCGTGTATTGCCACGTATAACTTGGGCCAATGACCTAGATTGAATCGTCTCTTTCTTGAAGTAGAATGAACTCGAAATTTGATTCCAAATCACAATAGAAACCACATTGTACCTTCCATGGCAATCCCGCAGATCTTTCAGATTAAAAGTCCATTCTAGTCTTCATCCTATCCCACAAGTTTGTCTGGAAGTTGCTGGAAGATTGCGTGTACTGCCAATTCCGAAGTCTGAAACAGAATCAGTGAAAATCTCGAAGGCTCAACATCAACCTCCATTATTCGCTCATCAAAATATTTCTCAATATTCACTACATCTTGATCACTTCCCGCAATCTTTCATCCATCACATCTCAACTCCAAACTTCCCTTCCAAAATGACATTCCACCCCGCCCAAACCTGGTACCCATCATACAACGACACCCGGCCGAATCCCAACTCACCTTTCAACGATGCTACTCCCCAAATTCTCGATATCCCTTTGAATCCTCAAGAAATACATTATAGAGAGATCTGCGGCATGTTAAAATACACCCAAGACAACACGAGACAAGTCACGAAAGACAAGAAAAAGTCCTCTCGGGAACTCCAGGTCGCATTGATGAGATTGGGTGTGGGAGGAGGAGAGGGGAGAGATAGAAGGGAAAGATTGAGGAAAGTAGTTGTGTTGCGAAAAGTAGTGTGGTTACATCAGGATTATAAGAAGAATTTGATGCTGTATGAGGGTGAGTTGTGGAGGAAGGAAGATGAGTTGAAGAGGATGTTGAGATTGCAGGTGCGAGAGAATGGGAATGCGGATTATTATGAGGGTAGGAATTGGTGGTTTGTGGCGGGGGAAGAGGAAAGTGATGATGAAGATGACGAAGGTGACGAGGATGTCGAGGATGACGAGGATGAAGATGATGAAGATGATGAAGATGAAGATGAAGATGATGAAGATGATGAAGATGACGATGACGAAGTTGAAGAAACGTATGGAATGGAACTAGAGTGCTGGAGTGAGGAAGATGAGGATTTGGAAATGGAAATTGAAGGATGAGGTACACTGTACGTATATTTGAGCAGTGTGAACGTGGCCATACCTATCACGTTTGGACATATAAATCTTTCTTTCATCCATCGCCCACGTCTAGCATCAACAAAGTCCATTGCGAACAACCACACAGAAGATTGGCTCGAATCTCAAGGCTCTCGTCAAATTTCGTCTTATGCAATCTTGGAGAAGACAACCTGAAGAAGTGGGGCATATCATGGTGTGAAGCGAGGACATCGGGAAGGAGGAGATATTCACGAATTAATGAGAGCTATCTGATTGACATACCTAGAAACAAATGTGCATGGGTGAATTTCATGAAAATAAAAGGAAAAGACGTCAATCCACGCGATACTTTCAGTCTTAGCTGTTACCGCAAAATATGTGATGCCAAATCAAAGCAGTCTTATTTTTGGTCGCTTCATTCACTCCATGACACTTAACAACCAAACACAATTTTTGGGATTTTTTGAAAGCTCTACGTACCATCAAAAACTTTCTTTTTCAGAATCAAAGATCTCCAGCCTATGGTAAAGTAAAGAAGCTTAAACGCGGCAAAATTTGAAGCGCGACAAAAACCGCGAAGCGAGACGACGACAACGACACCACAACTCGCATCCAATCAAACAAACTCAATTCACCACCTCAACTTACACAGACCCACTCTATCCTCCCCCAAAAACTCCACCAATCCGACATCAAAAATAGCAAAACAAAGGGTCCCAGTGTGAGCACCAGGTACGGTAACAAGCCGTAGGGTTTTGTCCCTCCTCCTAGAGCGGAATTCTCATTGGAAGTGTAATTAGTTCTTCTGGTATTTGTCTGCGGGGACCTTCTGTGTGACTGCGTTGCACGATGTTGAATCGTCAAGAGTGGAATCAAACCACTGCACCACACCACTTTGCAATTCCCATGCATACGCCTAATGTGCTGGAAAGAAGCTTTTCAAAATATATATAGCGGAAGCGAGAGCAGTGAATAGGTGGATGCTTGGGAGGATGAATGTTGGATTGCCTTAGGGTTGTGAGTTCATCGCTTTGTCATTGTGCGATATACCACTGCGCGAATTCTGGCAGGGTATATTATCATGAAGTTCATGGTCTATTGTATCGTACTGGTATATCATTCATTGATTCCAGGCAGGCCACAAACTCCGGTACTATCTCGTGAGTTTCAATACTACAAAAGATAGCAACAATTGACGACCTCTTATATCAAACTACAGCGCATATTGAATCGATGCCTTTCAACGAGCCACGGCACAATATAATGAACTCGTCAGGTGGCAAAGATAAAAAAGCGTCTATGCATATTCGATATCAGAGCCAACGCTTTTTGTTTCAAGCATTCCTCAACAAACTAACGATATCAGCAAGGGATACTGGAGCGCAAAGAAGATTTGTATCGAAGGAAGTCATGCTCATGGCATTAGAAGGGTGTGATTGAAACGCCAAGCATCATTTGTCTCATCTATTTATCCTCTCATTAGTCTTCCTGTGGAACTTCCTTGCCATCCAATAATTGAATACCTGCGAACTTTTTTTCATACTCGCGAATTTCTTCTCTTTCCCGATCTACACCTCACTTTTAAGCGATGCCTTGCGGATTTGGTTCCTTTGCTCAACAACCTTCAAAGTTCCTTTTATATTATGGAAGCGCATGCAAATGGGTCAGGTTATGACTGAGGTTGCAATTACATGCGGTATTTGCGCAGTCAAAATGGGTATTCGAAGTTTATTTGTATGATAGGAGTTCATTCTTCGATGGGTAAGATGCTTTTGTTTAGTACCAACTGCGTGCTTTTGGTCGGCAGTCAGTACCGATTTCAACAGTGCATGGGATTTCCAGGATTTTGATATAAGCGCGTTATGTTCGGTTTCTTGAGCTACCGGTAAAGTAGATTTGAAGCTTGAACTGCTTGAGTCACAGCTTGAATATTTAGTTCCTTGATCGAGTAGGTATCATCTGTCGTCCAGACATATGTAGATAGGACGGGAAACAGAAGTTAAAGGTAATGGTACCAAACTGAATATCCAAGTAGAATTTCCGGTCGAGAAGTGTTACTATTCTTTCACAAACCAATTTACCAATTCTAAAAAGTCGAAATCTTCATTGACTCATTGGTGCTTTTCGTGAACCAATATCCTCAACCACTACAGTGAAAGTCAATCTCACAAGCATTGCAGCTGTCAATTCAAAGACTAAGCTCAAGACCGTGGTAGTATAATCATTCCTACAAATCCTCTCATCCTTCCTCCTTTTTATCACTTCTTGCGTTGGAGAATACTAAGTAACCACCTCTCAACATCACCTAGGAGTCATCAACTATCCTCAATTTCCTTTCCCGACTTCTCTGCTTCTTCTTCCCTAATTTTAAAAATTTCTACCATTTCACTCAGATACTCCAGCTTGGTAACCACTTCCTCCCTCCCCCTCTAATCCATTATCCCTTAGCAACTCTTAATACTTTGCCAACTTCTTCTGAGCCCTTTCACACAATACTTTCTCTTCCATACATTGCGATATCTGTGCCTGGCATGCTTCCAACATTGCATCTTTACTCTTGACTGTTTCGATAAGCGCATTGCGCTCCTCAATGGCACTGAACAGGGCTACCACGACGGTTAAGTCGTGTGGTTGCGTTGCCATTTTTGGAAAATGCCTGGTATTGGAAGCTAAGAGTTGGGTAAGGCTTGGTGTACTTATAATAACATTGAGTATTGTTATTTGCCAAATATTTCTCAAGGTTTGCATTAGGACAACTAAGATTGAATGCCTTGGTTTGCTGAGCAGCTTGTGACGTCTTCCAATGATCAGTTTCTCTTTGTGTCAAGTTTGCATTCTTCTTCTTCTTTCCCTATAACCTCTCAGTATCTTCTAGCGAGTATTGAAATGATAGAATCATCACGAAATGCTAGATGATGCCATCACTATGCTCAAATATGCTTCACAAAGCTTCTATCACTGCAGGCAAGGTAGTATGAAGTCCCAAACAGCTTTAGGTTTTCATTCGTTATTTTTTTAAGATGATCACCAATCTCCACAATCAAAGCAAAAGTAATTGACTAAAAGAGCAGCCAGCAATATCAAACCATGTCATCTTCTAACGATGCAAAGGTACTTTACGATCTCCAAATGAGATCATTCTCAGAATCATCTCTAGTTTCATTTGTTTCAAATCCGAAAGTCCCATTGGCGATAATTGACATTCATTCTAGTCCGCATCCGCCCCACAGAAAGACGAAACCCCTTCCAACCTCCTCAATGACCCATCACACAAACCAAAAGGTGCACTACCCAAGCTTAATGACAATACCGACCCTGGCACGCCAGACGAAAATCAATCGCTGGCTCAAAGAATCCATCACTTATTGGCCGAGAAGCAGTCAACGGTAGGCAAAATAAGCCACTTGAAACTCAGAATTGATGGGTTTGAATTGGAGGGGGGTAATCAGTGAAAGAGACATGACTTCTTATTGAGCTCACTGTGGTTAAGGCAGTCTCGATAGTACCTAGACTTCCCAATCCAGCCCAAGGCGTCAATTGCCCTGATTTGGGCAGAGTATTCTCGAGCATTTATTATTCACCAAAGGTATTCGCGAAATATTAGTTTCCTAGGAATATCATGAAAAGGTATGAGATTCCACTTGCAGTACTCTTTTACTAATGTGATGATCCGTACTCTCTATCCTCCCTATCAATCATTCATTATTCAACATGCACTTCCTTCTTCCCGAATCCCGTCATGATTTTCACTTCCTCCCAGAACGACATATGTTTTTCAACCACTGTTGCTTCGTACGCGTCGATAATTGGTCTTTCCCATATAAGATCCGCCTCTTCTGGCTTTACAACTTTGGTCTTCTTGAAGATTTTCCACCCCCCATAAAGTAATGGACAGACAAAGACCATGGTATAGTAAGAGAAGAATGTTCCCGTATTCCACCCTATTCTCGGTTAGTTTTTTTGTGGAATAATCATCATGGAGGAGAGGGCGCAGAAAGAACTTACATCCGGGCAAAAATGTGGTATATCCATAGCACGCCACTGTGAAAGTCATTGCTGCAAGTCCCACCCAGGCGCAGTAAGGTTGATACCATCCTACATAAGGCAGAGCACTTCTATCAACACCCTGCGCCTTCAATGCTCGATAGAAGAATATGTAGATAATACACATGCAGATATAATCTATGATTTGCGAGGCTTCGGTAAGATTTGCGAGCCATGTGATGACTTGAGCCGAACTGCTGCCCACGCTAAGGAAACTTAGGAAGGGAAAGATCATGGTGACGCAGAAGCAGTAGATGGGGACGCCGGACTTGGTGCATTTGCGGAGGAAGCGTGGGGCGTGCCCGTCGAGCGAGAGACTGTACAATGTACGACATGCGCAGTAACTTTGGTGCTGTCAGTATCTTCTAGTATGTTACTGCATAAGATAGGAGGACAACGTACACATAGGAATTACCAGCGGAAAAGATACTCGTCACAAGTAATGCATTTGTGATATGCGGAAGTACACCGATTCCCAAATTTTGCATAGCAATAACGTAGGGACTTGAAGCTGCGGTTCCAGTCTCAGAGCCGCCATTCGAAAGGATAGCAATTAGTTTCTCATCGTTGTATGGGATGACTATTCCGCATGCTAGAGCACCTCCAATAAAGAAGACTCCAAATCTCCAGTAGATCGTTTTGAAAGCTCGCTTGAGGTTTTTGCGGGGATGCGAGGCTTCGCCCGACATCATAGCAATGTATTCTAGAAAATTGTTAGGTTTACATGTTTATAGACTTTGAGTACAATTCCGGCATGATTTAACGTACCAGGCCCAACAATAGTGAATGCGGCTTTCCATAATGCGGCAAGAAATCCTTCAAATTTACCCAAAGATCCCGTAGTGACGTATTCGGCAAATGCACCCTACAGATCATTGATTAGTATGAAGGAAAACTTAAAATGTGCGAGAATCTTACAGGTTCTTTCCAATAACGGAATCCATATGCATCATGTTTTGGATTTCCTCCGACCATTGTGATAAATGTGAAGCAAAATATCATAGCGATCAACACTACCTTACCACCAGAGAGCCAAAACTCACTCTCTCCGTACCATTTTACAGCAAAGAGATTGATGACACTAATCTAGTCAGAAATGATATCTACGGATAGAGATGAAAACTTACCCATAGAGAAAGATACATCCAGCGCAGACTGCTGCTAAGGGTATATTATCACTATAATGATGCGTTAGAACTGTTCAAGTGTGATGTCAGTTGAAGACAGCAGCTGAAGATACACACCTCCAAAAGGTCAACACCAAATTCAACGCACTAATCTCCCATGGAACCATTATAGCCTCTAGATTCAGATCTTCATTAGCACTTATCCACATACTTGGCGAATTCTCTCACACGAACAAACACTACTAACCATAAAGGAAGAAATTCCACCCCAGCATAAACCCAAATGCTTCATCAACCCATTTACTACCCATCCTTACAAAACTCCCACTAACCGGCATGAAGACTGACATCTCAGCCATACAATTATTAACCAATCCAAGGAAACAACTGTATAAGATGAAAGCAATGAGTAGAGATCCCGGTCCACCTTGTGTAAGCCCCGATCCAATGGATACGAATAAAGCTGTACCAATTGAACCACCAATAGTTATCATTTGAATTTGTCTTCCCGTGAGCTGTCTCTTGAGGCCGTCGACATTTTCGGAGACAATTCCTTCTGTTTGACTATCGTCGCCATTGTAGGTTGGAAGACCTTTTTCGTCATAGCCCGTAGAGTCTTTAGGATAACTAGTCACGGGACTGTGGCTAGACTTCTCTTCCATGATGAATAGTAGCCCTTCAAAATTTATCTCAATAAAGAACAGAACTAATGGGTGTAAAGACAAGAGAGAGGGAGAGAGAGGGAGAGAGGGAGAGAGAGAGAGAGAGAGAGAGAGAGAGAGAGAAGGAAGTAGATATTATATTCGTTCTAAGGGAAACCTCTACCTCTATAGGTAAGAAAAATACTTGATCTCTAGCAGAATGGCAGGAGCATCCTCGCATTCAAGGTAGTGCCTGTATCTTGGCCGTTTGTAGATTTAATCGAATCACAACCTTTAGATTTAGACCTAGGGCGGAGACCCCGAACCCATCATTTCCTTATTAGGAATATCTGCACAAGACAAGGGTTGGATGATTACTGCAGTAAATACGGCTAGTCGATTGGCCGATAGTGGTCGATATATTAACGAAACTGGAGCGGAAACTGGGTTCGGTCAACCAACATTGATACGCGGCTCGATAAGATGATAAACGTCGATAAGAATCCCATTTTACGTTTACATGCGGTCATTCAATCCCTAGAATACTGCGATACTCAATCCTTGGCTCCCTATTGTACTTCGTAATGATTTTATTTGTATTTAACCATTGCGAATCTTTTCCAAACATATCTATCTAGGTATCATTGCCAAGATTGACGGGCAAATTGATTCTACGGTCTTTTTTTTCAACCCCGCGAGTTTCTATACGGAGGGGCCCGTGGGGAACGTGCAAGTCGCCTTTCCGCTATTAGTTCCCCCGGCAATTAATCTACTTGACCCCTCGGGAAATTTTCTTTCCACTCCACCGCTCCCCTCAGCTCTCATAATCTTACCTAATGAACACTACTCGTGCTGCCAGACAGTATGCAACTCCGAAGCTAGATGCACCTACCACAAGATGGTAAACTACAAGAGGGCTAACTTGGTTTTCTTAGCGGCGGAGGTGTATACTTTCTAGCTGCACGAGGGCTGTCTTCTACTTATTTGCCACTCGATATGAAGCATAATTTCATTGTTCCAATTGATACGAAAAGCTAGACCTCACCATCACATTTTATTTCGTGCATTCAAACATCCTTGTTACGAAATTATTATATTAAGTCTAATGTCTTCAATCGATCACGATGCCTCCAGCGCCCGCTGGTCTTCTCTCACTTTCTAGCAACCAAGCTCCGCCCTGCGGTCCACTAGCATCTAAACTCATAGTCGTCTTCCTAGCATCACTTATAATTCTAATTGTTTCGCCAGTATTCTTACACTCAGTTTCGCAAGTTACAGGCCGTGATTTATTCTTCACACCTTCCTCTCCACCGCCTGATGATCCTGGCCTGGTACTTTTGGCAGCGGGAAGTGGTTTGATCTCTATAGTAGGATATTGCAAGAACCCTTCTCGAAGAGGGATCAGCACGATAGGGAAAGTCAATCTATGATTCCCTCCATCTACAGTTCTAGGGACTTTGAAATGACCTTTTCGCCTACCACCAATAAGCCATGTATCTGATGGACCTGTGACCTCATATACAAATTCAGTATCTTCCCCTGGGCTTGCGGCATCATTCTGCGAGGCACTATCCCAATTCCTCGTCGATTTGAGGTGCAATGATGCTGGTATTGGCTCGTTCGCTGCTGCTACAGCACTGCTAGAAGCTACTGATGCTGTTTGAAGTAGCCGTAGGTCAGCAGTATGCACCACCATCACCGAAGGGACATCCACAGGGATTACAATCGATCGGCTCTTTGAGATTGCAGCCCCGTCGACGGATAGGAGAGGTAAAGGGATCACAGGATTTTGCTTCTGCCATTCCTGAAGTATGTTGCAAATGAGCATAGCAGTGTCTTGGTCTCGTTCAATAGAATTGCCCAGTCCCGAAAAATGGTCACGCCATCTGATATTAAGGATAGTTGAAGTAGGTATCTCACCAAGAATGGCGGCCCTTTCAAAATCGTATGGCGAGAAATTTGATCGAAGTTCTGAAAGAACGACAGGTATAATCAGCCGAGTATATGGTCGTAAAGAGTTGCTCCCGAGAAAGTCTCCCAGAACTTGGGCCACAACATCATAAACCTCTTCATCAAGACAAATGTAATGTAAGATGAGAGATAAAGTTCTCGGTTTGTGAGACTTCCGTCGTGTAATTGGGGAAGAAGGTGAATCGGTCTTTATGATTTTGTACAATAGAGACGCTGGTTGACGAGGAAATATGGTGAGAGGTCGCGTTAGGCCAAGTCCAGAATGTGCCTCAAATATTTCGGACTTTTCCAACTTAGAACTAAGAAGTCTAAGTGGGCTATTTGTGGACGTTGAGATGGTGAATTTAGAAAACAATGCTTTATGCTTGAACACGTCCTGGACATTGACACCCAGTGGGAGCATGATTGACACCGAAGAAGTGGTAGCAAAGAAAAAGTCTCCATCTTTCGTTGTGTACGATATTTCAAGTCGAAGTGTGACTTCATTCACCTCGTGTTCGAGATTGAACGGCACCCGTATTCTTGCAATGCTCTCTGCTTCCATCGCACCAAAGTGAACAACCCCTGCCTCTTTCTTCTTGGAGATGTCGAGTTGTCCGTCGATAATCGCTACCTCACTCGTTTGAAGCCGCAGCCCAGCTGTTGCCGCACGAATTTGAAGATGGCCAT